ATAAAAATTTATGCACTAAATTTTATCTCTTTTATCTCCTAAGCTAACTAAAGTGTTTGGCTGGGTAGATTGCGTGCCAGTGTGGTTTGCAGAGTATTTGACGCTAATCAATCTACAAGGGATATGCTATGCATTCGACATCATCGTACGCCGTAGAGGCATTTGAATTCATCCTGTAGAATGAGCTACGGTTGCCTATCTATGTATTAACAGGTCAGAATTTTTTTATCGCTCAGATAAGTGTCCTACCAAGTTTTGGCTCATGAGGAATCGAAGGCTTGGTGAACTCGGGATGCGAGCTCGAACCAAAAACCCGATTAAGTTTGCATTGCAGGGCATCTTTAACAATTGTACTGCCTAGACGCATTTGGAATAGACCTTGCAAACATTTAGTGTCCTTCGAGGGTTCACATGATTGTGTTTGAATATCTTTTTCCTTCTTTTAGCGCTCCGTTCCACGGCCGGAATTCAATTTCGTTTGGAAATTTCGATTGCGACAAGGCTGATTACATATATAAGAAAAAAATCAAATTAGCTTTTAATGAGTCGTATGAGGATATTTAAAAAAAAACTTTTCGTGGTAAATTGTGAATTCATTCGTGCAGTTAAACCGATAATGGTCAACCGATTATTTTATCGTTTGCAAACGCATTTGCTTGCATTTGACTCAAGTCAGCGTTTTCATACTCTGAGAAATAAGTGCAATAGTAATTTACTCACTTCGACAAGATGGAAACTCCGTGGAACGCAACATCAAACCCACTCGCAAGCTACCACTAACTAGTACGCTACATATATCGTCGACGAACATTAGCTGCTATCTTAACTCTTTTATTTACTGCCTTTTTCTTCTTAATGGCAGGGCAAGTTGCGAAATATAACTCGAATGAAATGCTGAGATATTTACAAAACTCCGGACCGCAGGTGTATGCAGTGGGGAACGAACACGCCCTGCTGTCCTTACCTGGACCCGGATGGTGTAGTGGTGAAGTGCGCTGCTCCCCGTTATGGACAACAGCGCGTGTTCGTTCCCCACTGCATACACCTGTGGTCCGGAGTTTTGCAAATATCTTAGCATTTCATATTAGCTGCTATATTTCGACAGCCTCAAATTTTTCGTCACCGCTGATGGGTAGCTCTGGTTGTCAAACCGCTATGCACAGTGAGGATTCGTCCTCCAACAGTCTTACCAAGCTAGAGAACGAATTCAACATTCCTGTAGAAATCCAAAGAGTTAGCTTATACCACAGCGATTGGGGCTGGCGAGAAACGCGTTGTTGGTTGCATTTTCACTAAAAGTTGAGCGTTGTAACTAAAGTGTGCGGTGGTCGTTTGTGTTCTTCACGCTCAAGAGAAATCGACAAACCCATAGTTTGCCGGCACCAGCTGAAGTTGATGAAGTTTCTCCTTGATTGAATATTGTCGGTGCTAATATTTGATGTATGTGTGTAACTGTGCTTACTGATTCATGCCTGCATATTTGTGTCTATGTGTCTATATGTCTGTCTATCTTAAGGTGAATTCGGTCCAAATGTTCTGTCGCGTCTTCAGGCACGATTGTTCTTATAAATCATCTAGTTATAAAAAATTAATGCATGTCATAGCATTAGAATTTCCAATTTAAATTCTATAAATGTCTGATTGGCCGTATGTTGTTCGGAATACTCACTGCCGTCAGAGCTTTTCCACCTTCCACTTTTGTATAAGCTTCCAGAAAATGTTGTTTCATTATTTTTTCTCTATATCGGTCTCTATTATAGACCAATACTTTTAATAACCCGATACGGAAACTGGTTTCTTAAATTCGGCTACTCGTTTATTAGCCCTAATACTAAGCAAGAGGAGCTACGGTACAGATCTGCGGGAATATTAACATCCAAGATTCACGGTATAAATTGTGAATGTTAGATCTTAATATTACCATATTATGAATCCCTTTACTTTTGGGTTTTATTTTTTTTCTCACCGAAATAAAAGTTATTCGAGAAAGCCATGCTATTTATTTGAACTAATGTAGTAACCCTTTACCACGACAAACTTTCTATTAATCTTGGCATTGAACAAATAGTTCTCGATATTCTTGTTGAGCAAATACGAAGTGTTATTTATTCTTTATTTCGTTAAAGCTGGCTTTTCGGCAGTATTACCTCATCCAAAGCCGCAAACTACGTGCCTTCCACTAACGAAGAACAGCTCGAAAGAAATAGATCGTGAACTCTTCGTCTGCCAAAGTCTTGCCTTCATCTGATTAGTTGTCGTTCAGTTCACTCTGGGAAACTTCCGTTCTGGACCACCAATCATCGTCAACAGAGGCGAGCTGTTTACACAATCCAACTAGTGGTGACAATTATTCCCTTCGATCCCAACATTCGAATTTGTGTAAGTCAACGATTTAATTCTTGTTTTCGCTTACTGCATTGCTCTTTGTTTCATTAATAATAAAGGATAAAGCGTTCGGTGTTGATCAATCCTCAAGGAATGCGCAATGCATTCGACTTCATTGTGCGTCCTAGAGGTCATTGAATGCATATTTGGCTCATATGCGAATGCTTACTGGTGCACCAAGTCAATGTTTTCATCGCCGCAGGAAAGAAAGATGCCTTTTGCCCAACCAGGACGTAAAAAAGGAGCTTGGTTAGTCTGGCGCGCGATCCAACTAACGATGACTGGATATTTTAGGGCTCGTCTAAACAAAGGGTTGCACACTTCCCTATATAAATGCAAATATGCACTACATAAACCATTACATGTGGGTGTAGTCATCCGCCTATAATTGTGACCGCAATAAGTAAGCTTAACGAAAACTGGCGTTTAGCTGACCTAAATGAACTAGAGGGTAGGCGTAGTATGTGGAATGCCCTTCAAAAATTTCGGAAAACTGTGTAGAGGGCATAGAATGAGAGGAAATGTCTGAAGTAATGATGTGCTGTCTAAAAAAATAATTGTCATTCCTCATCGATTTCGTTGGATAGCAGCGAAGTCTTGGAAACGCCTTCGAGCGATGAACTCATTATCACAAGAAAGTACTGAATGAAACGTTTCCACGAGTGCTGCTACAATTCTCTAACGCTCTTGCTTGATTCCCTACATTTTCAATGAAGAACAAAGCTTTTTTGTGGCGAAATTTCAAACTATTGACAAGACTGAAAGTAGTTGCCCCATTATTAACGAATTTTCTGTCTAATTTTATCATTGATAAAAATAGAGACCTGGTTTCGCCAGCGTGGGACGTTCACACGACTTCATGCTAACCTCGACGGCTTGTCACGCAGCTCATCTTGTTGAGGAGCTGTTTCTTGTTTTTGGAACAAGATATAGTGCAAGGCGTTTCTTACGCAGTAGAACGTCGCATGTCCTGAAGAAGTTCTACACTTTCTTAGCCAGAGGCTCCGCTCTCAATAAACTTGTGCTAAGAATCGTTGCCAAACTGAAGACTTAAGAGTCTGTAGCGAGTCTCCGTCTTATCAAAATAGCCAGCAAAAGACTAGAAGGACCACAATAGCTGTCTTATGATTTTAAGAAAATTTCTAGGCAAACCAGCTTGAAAATAAACTTTCCAACCATGAAAACCCAAATAATAGAATATTCAAGAGAATGTCTTATGAACGTCTAGCTAGCACAATGCGAACGATTGTGGACGAATGTTAGTGAAATCGTCGAGGATGTTTAGCGCTGTTATCTGTGAAAGATAACTATAACAGAATAGAACGTAGAATCCGGTGAACCTAACTGCGACCTAGTGCCATGATCAGATTCTATCTGCAAGCACAATGAAGCAGTAAATGCGGGTTTTGACTTGATCTTTCTATCACTTTGTAGATTTTAATCACCCCCTTATTCACCGGCGCGATTAATTTCCTGAGAGCCATTGTAGCCCTCTAATTGAAACAATTCGATCGATTGTGCATTATTTAATTTCTACGCTTTTTTCGTTCTAATTTATGAAATCTGACATACAACAATATTTTTGGCCTTTTCAATTCAGGTTCATATAAAAACAATGAAAACATCGAAATAATGTCAGATCGCTCAGTAGACTTCACTGGAATCGCCCTTTTAGTTGGCTTTTATGAATGTCTAGCTACCTATAAGCCTTTCTTTACGGAACAATCACCATGAATCAGGGAACCATTTGACCTCATTATTGCATTTACTTCCTAGAACGAACTTTATTGCAGAGAAGTTGCTGTCGTCATTTCAACTACACGAAGACCTTTTGAACAAAAACCGTTCAATTTTTAATTAATTTAACAATTCACGGAGGAGGTGTGGCGCAGTGGTTATGATGTCGTAGATGAAGGAGCACAGGAACTAGTTCGAGCCTGCTCCCAACGCCCTCCCCGAAGTAAATCCACATCGAAACTCCTTACGTCGACTAACTCCAAGATTACCGAGAAAATCGACTCGACCAGCATTCTACAACATTCGCAAAGAAAAAATCTTCAACCAACAACAGCAGCAGTATACGGAATCTGTGAAAACCATTGTGGGCGATGAATGCGAGGAGAGCAAATCGATTATAAGAGGTTCTGGGATCCTCACAGTTAATGCCAAAACTGGTCCTCTAAAAAAGGATTTGAAAGACCAAACTTTAAAAAGTATTTTTCAACCTGATGCGGTTCGTTCTCGATTCGACTTGAGCATTTCTGACTTGGGAAATTTTTTTGTTGTGTTCTGTGAGTGTGGCAGCGGAATATGAATATGGACAATTGTTACAAATTCCTACTGTATGTAGTGGAAAAGGAGTTTCTTGTCGGTATTTTGACTGGTGTTTTGTTTTGATTTCTGATATCTTATATAATGATCTTGGTTAGCTTTCCGCACCTTGTTTCTATTTTTCAGTTCCTGTCGATGGATAACCTTATCACTTCGATTTCATTGTTTTAAGAGAATATCTATTGAAACCCGCCTTACAATTAATTTTGGAGTCTCGCATGGATTTCTCGCTCATTACTTTCGAATATATCCACTTTTGAATACTATTGATTTCAGATGACGTAATGCTGTCGCCGTCGTTCTTGGAGCACGCAGTTCTGGGCTTTGCGTTCGCTGTACTTTCGCTTATTGTCTTAGCTTTTGCTATTGTCGCTATCGTTTTCGTCACCGTCACTAATAATTGTTGGTGGAATTGTGGTGAGTAGTTAGAAGAAAGAAAAAAAAAGCGATAATTCCGAAATCTCCTGAATCTCGGATTAGTAGTGAACTATATTGTCAATTACATTGTCAATGCTTATGAACGATGGATCCGACTGGATGAGACATAACGATGGCCAGTCAGAATTTTGGAAGCTTCTGTATAAGATTCTCTACTGACTTCAACACTTTAGCGCGTGAACTTTCCCTTAAAAACTACTACGCGCCGTGATCGAACTACTAGAGATAACGTCGATATTGCTTTAGCATGACAAAACTCTCATAGTAGACCGTTCTGGGATGTCAGTTCCTTCAACATTGCTGATGATTGTTCAGTCTTCTCCAAATTATTGCCATTACCATGATTGAACTGGGATTCACAAGCTATGAATTAGTTTTATTGCATTTTTTGTCTCATGCAATTGCATATAAGAACCGATCTACTTCCTATTTTTCTTTCCTGCCTTTCAATCCCAACATATATGTAGAAAATCGTCACAGTGATGATCACAAGTTCTTGCTGAGCTCAAAGAAACAGTGAAAAGTATATGACTAGGAACCATTCAGAAGAAGAAAAACTTATGAAGATAACTGAGATAACTGATTTGAAGTGTAATAATAAGCCATTTCTCATGGACCATTGTTTGGGGACGGCCCTCAGTTGACATAGTTAAAGATTTGAGAGAATAACTCAGTGGAAAGCAACAAGCAGAGCAGATCGTTGCGTTTCAAAAAATGCAAAGGACACTCGGGTGACTTATTCCGATGATACGAAGACATCTTCGAAAGCCAGCAAAATATAGCTCAAAAAAGAGGCATCGATAAGCCGGTATGTACGAAGAAGACAATAGGTGAAGTGGAGAAAAATCTGCGAAAATCTAGAGGAAATTGTTGTAACCACGATGGATGCATTCAAAATGACTGAACGGATGTGTCCGTTGCACTTTTATGTCAGCTGTATTGACTGCTGGAAACATTTTCCTATTCTCATATTGTAGCAGAACACCCACACCAATACGACCAAGTTTCGTTGATAACGGTTGTGACGCAATGGAAGGGAAGAGTGCTGGAAACGACGATTTAAAGGAGGGCCAACTGTTTAGTATCTTGTTTCATTGGTAAGCTGGCACGAAATGGTTACCAAATATTTATTCGGCTTAAGTTTCGATATCTTCCTTTTCCTCAGAACCGATAATCTGAGTCTATGTGTACAGTGCTTCGTACTCTCGACGTAGTTCCTTCATTTTAGTATCCAATTTTAAGTGTTTAACGTTAAGCATACTTTATATTGTGAGCAAAAATCAGGAGACAGTCCTTGGCACGATTTGTTAGCAGTACGTGACGTCATGGAACAGTAAACAAAATAGCAGGGGATGGAAATTCATTTCGGAAAACTCTAGTTGATGTTTTTTTCGACTTTGATAACAGAATTTTTCTTTGCCTCCTTTGTTGGAGCTTGTATTTCGAATATGGAAAGAACTGAACAAAGAGGATTTTCCTCACTAAGACGCGATGGTGTCACCCGATTTTTTGTCGACACTTGCACTTGCTGTGTTTTCGCGGAAAATTTAAAAAAGACTGACAGAACTTTTCTTTATGTTTATAGACAAGTCTAAAGCGATAAAGCAAGGTCTCTTTGATAAGTTTTTTAAGTTCTTTAGTCTTAAAAGAATTTCTCCAGCCTCCGAAGAATTGTCGGCAGTATTCAACGAGCCAGCTTCGTCATGAACGGGTTAATACTCCGCTTAATTATGGGTAAACGACCAAGTAATTGACTTCCACCAATCCTCTAAGATGCGTCATGCATTAAACTCCATTCATAGCAGGTCGGTACGTTAAATCAATGTTTTTATAATGACAGACATGTGTGGTACCAAATTGCGACGCCGAAGGGATAAACAGCCATGCGAGCCACGAGTAGTGTGATCGCACCATAACGCAAAGTAGTGTGCATTGCACGGCAGCCCTAGCCACTGTGCTACACGTACTCCTTCAACTTTCTAATGAATGCAAATTCAGCAAACTATGGCGGGAGCTCGAGGAATAACCAGTAAAATGAACAATGCCATTAGTAGAGAAATTTGCTCATTCGCCTAAAAAAGTGTTGCTTGCTTTCTGAAATGAAAACAAGTAGTTTTTCTTTTTTAAATGCTGCCGTTACAACGACTTTCATGCCGAGGTATTCTTTCATTCTCGTTTTCTTTAAAGGGCAGAAAATGAGAAAAGTTTGAAAAAGTGATGCACTTTTAATCAGTACTGAGGGCCCATTTCGGACAAATTGAACATTCGTCGGTCGTTTTTGTTCAGTGGAATTACTGCAAAATGGTCAATGAAGGCTTGATTGCCGAACTCCGATAGTTTTTCTGGATATTTCTGAGCACAAAACTGCGTTTAATTTGGCGACTACTCATAATAGCTAATGACTTATTTTGTTTTCTGGGTTTCAACAAAACAGCACACTTTCGCCATGCGTGAGAGATTCTGGAAATTAAAAAGAAAGTTAAAGTCCTCTACGTTGATCAGTCTCTGAGGGATGCGTCGTGCAGTCGACTTCATTAAGCATCGTTGGAGGTGAGTGAATGCATATCTGACATTTATAATGACTCGCGGTGGCCGAGCGATGTATCGAGCCAGTGTCGCTATCCTCCTAGACAAGTCTGATACCAATTTGCTGACCCCGAAGGGTTGAAAGGCTTTGTGAACCACGGGCGCAATGATCGATTCCTTGTGTGTGTCGCAGGCTCATTCGACCACTGCGCTACACGCGCCTTCAGGATAACAGAATAAAATTAGGATCATTGTCTCCACGCAGCTCCAAGGGAAAGATAACAAAATAGATTGTATGTTTAGGTTTTTGCACGAATACCGTAATAACACTAAATTGTTAGGTTTTTATTTTTTGCCTATTTTTTCCATGGAAAAGTATGATGTGAAAGCATGGAGGAATACGAACAAACTCGGAACCTCCATCGGAAATCGAACCCGCATTTATTCACACTGAGGATCAAGTGCTATCCCGCGTACTATCAGTAATCACTCATCAACGAGAATGATCTGATGAGGACAGTTGAGATTGATGGGAGATTGCTGATGGCACATATAGAGCAAAAAACGTGGCTGAGACAAAGGCAAATCAAGGGCGTCGGTTGGTGCGGTGGATCTCATGTGAGTCTACGGCAAGGATAATCGTCAGTTAGAAGTCCTACTGAGGCTCCGCGTTTTGCTCGTATTTCAGCACCTCCTGGTTGTAGTACATCAAGAAGATGTTATTTGAATAGGTGATCTCTAGTGGGATAACAGCAGATTATGTGTGAACGGCTCACATGATTATGCAAGATGAAGCTGAAAAAGGAGTGACTTGTATGGGATAGCAAATTTACAAGCGTTCACTTTAATCAGACTTTCGCATTCTCTTCAGGCAAAGTATTTGGAGACTTCTTGCATCACTCTAGATGGAGAAATAGGAATAAGAGTAAAACTTTTGAAGCCTATAAAGGCTGGAAATGTCAGAAATTACAAAACAAACAAAACAGATCTGTTTCTTTTACGGAATAAACTTGTAAAAAAGATTTTCTATAGAAAAAACAAAAGTTCTAGGTCAATATAGTAAACATCATATTTGAATACTTGGATAGTTAGAAGGCCCGTCTTGCGGTCCCCAACATTTTCTCCGATTTTCGGAGTATTGCTGGTTTAGCCATTGTGCTTTCTCGGAGTTCCGTGGCTAGCCTGGCCAATCTCTGCTCCAGGTCGTCACCACCAGAGGTGGTCGCAGCCCTTGTGGATCAGAGGAATTTTGCCACCATGCGACTAGTTTGATAGAAGGACGGTGGTGGATCCTGGTATTGGTTCACTCTTAGCTGGCTTCCTGGTGGAAACGCCGGACTCCTTCCCGGCTTCGGAAACCCTGTTGTGAGGGATGAATCAACCGCTGTACATCGCATTCTGACACCTAGGAACACCTCTCAGCCACGATGAAGCGGTAAACCGTTGAGAGGATGAAAACACAATACTGGTACAATTTGGATAAAAGGATAGAGGTTAAAGCTCTCGACGAATGCATATCTGGCTTTTACAATGACTCGCGGTGGCCTACCGATGTACCGAGCCGGTGCTGCTAGCCTTTCAAACAAGTCTGGTACCAATTTATCGGCCCAGGAAGGACGAAAGGCCTTGGCGGGCCATGGGTGGGAATCGATCCCGTGTGTATTACAGGGCGCCTCCCACCACTGCGCCACACGCGCCCAAAAAATTGGATATGCTTTGCAACTTGTGCTGCGTTTATTTCAGTATCTTTTATAAATGCACACGTTGTACGGTAACTAAGATTTCTTGTAGCAAATAGGCTGAAATAATAGTGGGTTACCACTCAAATCTCTGGTTAGTGAACTTTATTGAAAAATGGTTCTTTGCATATTTCCAAGTGCAGAATAGAGCCTTTTCCCGACCAAAACTCAATGCAGCATTCATATTCTCCAAGCTGCCGAGTCGCTACAAATAGTCTGGCAAAAAACTGTGAGGCGCAATAAACTAGCGAAAAATTTCCACATTGAAGTCGATACGTACGGTCCACGGCATGTATCAGTATACATATTGAAATCAATATGCTTGGTAACGAAAGGGTTAAGCAGTGAAATGAAACCAGGATATAAATTATCGATTTATTGTTTAGAACAATTCCGTCAAAGAACGTTAACGAATTCATTTTTTCCTTGTTTTTTAGATGACGAAGGCGATCCACTGATGGAGGACTGCAACTCATTCTATTCGCATTATGCCGAGGACTGTGAAGATGGTGGTATGGAGCCCGTCGACACGGTGATCGGCTGCACTCCGACCAACGCGGCGATCGTTTGAAGAGACTATTGCGGCCGCCGCGTTGCTAATTTTTGTGACAGTAGTCCGTTGCTTGTTGTATATCTGACCGCCCAGCTCACCACCTCCGTTCGTATTGGTCGAGTATTCCGTTGGAGAATGTATGAGAGTCCTGAAATTATCGTCACTGTTTACTTTTTCGGAACCGAAAGAGAGTACACACACGCATACGGACGTCCCATAGAATCAGAAACGGATCACAATGGGCAATAGCATTCAATTCCATAATCAGGAACATTTCTCACGCTTAGCGGCTTCCGTTGATAATTCCTTCGGACTTTTCTTGTTATTCATTTTTCTAAAATTTCTATTTGAATCATTGAATCATTCGTTACATAAGTGCTATTGTAATAACAAAAACTAGAAGCTTAAGCGAGCCGAAGGCGTAGTTACCCTAGAAGTATTAACTAGCGAGAGAATCTAATACTTATGGTTAAGAACACTAAGCAGTTAGCGAGGCCGCATTTGCTCTCCAATGGTCATAATCAGTTTAAAGTATCTATAACGTTTCCTATTTGAATTCTTGTTCTTACATAATCTAAGATTTTCTCTCTATATGGATGTAAAACATGCCTGGAACTGAGATAATAGCTCATGTCATTCCGTACTTTAGCTCTCTCTAATAAGACGGCCCTTCCTATTAGTCTTTCTTCGAATAGGCTATTGAGTATTTTAATGACTTCTTGTTTCCATCCGGATAATTTTCCTGTAGGAAAATATAGTTCACTGGATGAATCCAGGCATTTGTTTGCTCTTGACTACACTCCTCGGTCGAGCGTTCAATCGGCCCTCTCTCGAAATTCTCTTCGTGTGATATATTCTGTTAGTCATAACTGTGTCACTGCTTTTTTACTTTCCTTGACCAGTATATCCTTCCTCAATATCAATTCTCAACATGTAAATATTGATTTATTCGTCGGTTATTCATTAACTGTAGAGTACCACTGCTCTGTTTGCATCCTATTGATTTACTTTTCAGTATTAAACATATTTTCTAACAAACTTTATTATGTCTAGTTTCATTGGTAGTTACTTTGTAACTTTTATTAGCGGCGTGTTTTTTTCTTATTTTATTTCGCTTTACCTAATTTCCGATATTGTGAGGCTCTTCGCTCTCAATTCACTGTGTTCGTTGTCTCGCATCTATCAGCCACAAAGGTGCTCGAATTAAAAGCGATTGAGAGCAGAGCATTGCCAAAACACGAGTTTTTTGTTGAAAATTAAAGATTAAAAAAGTGCGTCAGAAACTTAAAGACTGAAAAAAAACAAAAAGGAACTTAAAACAATAGATGTCTGAGTGGTTTTCCAGACAGTCACGCGGCTAACGAAGCGGTTAATGATGCTGTTCAATATGCTCAAAACCCTTGTTCGATCCAGTGTGGAGCTAAACGAACTCTCCATTCCTCCAGGAGAGGGACGTTGGTAGTAAGCCTGTTTAGGTGCAGCGCACTCCCATCGCATTCAGGAGACTATTCATAGAGAAGATATGAAGCAGTGATAAGTAATACCGTCGATCAGAGAGCAAGGCTATTATTCAACCCCTTCCTCGACGCTTTCTTTCAACACAGGCGGGAAACGCCTCAGCTCCACTATCTCCATAATTCAGAAAAGAATCGACTCGAACTTCCTTTTTGTTTTTTTTTTAGTCTTCAAGTTTCTACGGCATTCACAAAGAAGACGGAATTCTCAACCAACAACCGAAATAACACGCGAAGCGTTCGAAGGGCACTGTGAATGATGAATGCGCGGAAAAACGAGTCGAATGCAGGAGTGCTGGTAGATCCACATAATCGTTATGATGACTGGTCATGTGAACAGGGCAGCTAAATAGATCTCGATCATAATCAAAGTGTCTGAAAATCCATGAAACTTAGACGACTTTCTGACGCGAAAATATTTTATTGTACAAGTGATTTTAGCCGGAATCTTCAAGTCCTGACCTTCTTATTACAGTAATAGGATGTGCAGGTTCAAATGTACAATTGAGAAATTTCTTTAAAAATTCTCAGAGGTAGGTCCAGTAGTCATAAGCTTTCACTCCAGTTTCTTCTGTTGATGATAGGGCGCAGTCGAAAGGATGCTACTCAAACTTTTAGTTGAATTCATCTTGAAATTGTAGCTTAGAAGCTTCAACAGCATTAACCGAACCACATGGCGGAGTCACATAGCACTTCAATTACAATTTATTATGAAGAGGCAAGGGAGTCTTTCGTCGGCACTGATTCATTTTGGATTAACAAAGTGGTTGTTGAAAATTTTCATGACATACTGATAGTGTTTATTGTGCTGACTACAAAACCTTATGAAAATAGAGTCACTTTCAAAGAGCGCTGAAGCTTTCATAAATAAATCTGCATATTACCAATAAATACTACATTTATTGATTAGTATCGTGTGTGATTCCATTGAACCCAAGAGGATTCTTGTACTCTGAATTCCGAAGAATTCTCTCTTTTGGTTTTTGCCTGCATACCTCTGCCACTTTACGATTTATGAAAAGTTTTGAAAGGATTTGACGGCAGCAGCCGGTACAGGTAGTTTGCTCGGCGGAGGACGTGAGACGGTTGTTTGCTCAGCCAGCAAGCTGCTCCCATTCGTGAACGACGACCCACCACCGCCTATTTAGTAAATGTGTGGAGTTCCTCAGTAAATCAATTCTAACATGTGGTACTTTCTGGCAATGCTAGCTGATATATTTTAGCTTACAACGGATCCTTGTTGGGTCAGCAAGTGGGATCTTTGGGCAGATAGATGTAGGGGCCGTTGGATACACATTCGAAAGCGCTTTGGCAATCTAGTTCGTTAATGATAGAATAACTCAAGCGAGCTTCAGTAAACTCTATTCGTTTACCGTCGTATCAGAGCCATTCAAAGGATCCGCTTGTTTGTAAGACGCGAGGAGCATCACACTTTTAGCATGATATTCTTTTTATCGCTTTTGGCAAAGACGCCACCACTTACCGTGGGATATTTTTACCTGCAGTTAAATCCTTTTTCGACATGGAACATCCTGTTAGTCGACGAACTATCAGCAGTACACCATAGTTCGACACGCAGCACGAACGTGAACACAACACTGCCAGAATCCTACTGTAGTTCGACACAGGAAGAGATTTTCTCCTTTATGAGCCATAAGATTTAGCAGTAAAACCGTTATTTTCACTTCGAATGTTGTTGTTATTTTGAAATTCCCTTCTAGCCTATTTTCTTTGTGCCACTTTGTTGAAGAATTCTTGGACAGATGAACCACAAAAAGACCTCGTTATTCGTTTACTTGGTGAGCTCTGGAACGTTTTCAATCTTCTGTGGACCTACTGTCGACATTTTGCATAAATTTTCGTCTGTCTTATGTTTTGTTGTAAGATTTTGCCTTATCTTCCATTCACATGTTCATGTTCCAAGTGTTTTATTGGCAATATATTTTTCTTATGTTATGCCACAACGGGCATTTCCTTGTTGTCTTTTCCTGTTTCGTCGTACTTAAACGTAACTTAACCCTTAGAAGAAAGTAACTTTTCCCTTCCCTTATAGTCAGTTAATGGGTAATCCTTATTCTCAACTCGTTTATGGTATGACCACTTATCCCTTGTATCAACTTTGATCCCTCTAGAAGCAAATTGAAGCATTGAATGACCCTAACAGGCACCAGTATTAATTACTCTATTCTATCTTTTTCGCCGTTCAAAGAAATAAAATGGGCTCTCTTCTCTCCGTCGAATCGTAGAGGATCAGAAGGCTAATACAAATCCATTTATTGTATTGTTTCCGGCAACCGGGTAGCACTGATTGTTAGTCGGACTTCTTCTTCTTAATTTTGATTTACTCATAGGTTTCTTCTGGTCGAAAATGTCGCATTTCTTCTCAGCTTCGGTGTCCATGCTGTGAGTTGAACTCTCTGCTGTACATCGCAGGTTGTCACCGAATACCCCGCAACACCGATTAAGTGTTATACCACTTCTTGGCGAGCACATAGCAATATGATCAAGTGAAAAAATAAATACGACCGTGATGGCGAAAAGCTCTGGTAAAGGGCTTCCCTCCATAACCTACTAATGAACTGTTGTATTATATGCATGTTTTCACGTGAGATCAAAAAATCTGCATTGTCATAGTTCACAGGGCGTGTGTGGCACAGTGATTGTAGGCGCCGCTGCGACGCACAGGTGGAATCGATTCCGGCGTCCCTCGTCCACCAAGCCTTCCAACCCTCCGGGGTCGGCAGATTGGTATCAGACTTGTCTGAGAGGATAGCAGCACTGGCTCGACAGATCGGTAGGCCACTTCGAGTCATTGTGAAGGCCAGATATGCATTCAATCACCTCCAACGGTACTTAATGGAGTTCGAAGTCGAATGCATGGCGAATTCCTCAAAGAATGATCAACGCCAAGAGCTTTTGTTTAAACCTTTTCATCATGATTTTTGCTTTTTATTTTAACCTTTCTATTCTGAGAATTCAGTTTCATAGAACTATGAGGAAATGCAGGAGTGACAGTTTACTTTTGAAGCAAAAATGAACGAAGACGATTCAACAATCGCACTAAATGATTTATTTCACCATCGTTTGAGAAGAGGTAGTGTTTATTGGCGCTGCTAGTCTCCGACGGTAATTTATTCTTCATAAGAACTTTCTGGTCTGAAGAACATTTCGACATTTTTGTCCGAAAGACCACACAAGAATGAATCGATGACAGAGATGGTCCTCGTCATGGTCGCAATCTACCCTTAAATTGACAAATCTACCTCACATCCCTAACAACCGGCGATTTCCTAGGGTGTTGAATTAGGAAGGATTTCTCGTGATTAATTCGAGACTCTAGAGGAAGAAAATTTTGCCCTTTCAGAGGATTTCTCGTTAAGTAGAAACTGAATGAGGAAGTCCGCACCGTTTTCATGAGAACGAGCCTTTCAAGTAAGTAGTGACCAGCTGAGTACGTCGATTATAGTACTATTGAATGCTGCATACTAGAGGCATTTACTTTTCAGTTCTCAGTGCTTGTAATAAGCAGTGTCCGTTGAAAAATAGGAACATTTTATCGACTTTGCGTTGTGAGGCGTGCTTAGGTATATAGTGGCAAGGAATGTTTTCGTTTTTAGATTCGGCAATCCCAATAACGAGTATTTGGACCGCAATTTCTAAGCAAACGTAAGTTTTTACTTGTTTTTTTTAAAGATATGCAATCATTTAGAAAAAAGATAAACTTTGTAAAATAACACGATGGAGAACACCCACAGCAATCGTCCCAAGCCTCCTGTAGCCACGCAACTCTCCCCTTTGAGACAACCCTAAGGAAGATGTTTTGCACCGAAAACTATGCAATAAAAAGCACAACAAACAAGAAAAAAGTGCATTTTGTAAAAAATATAAACGGTGATATATATCTATAAATTTATAAAGGAGCACTTTTCATTGTAGTTCGAAAGAATTGCACAACCAATATAATGGCAGCCTAACACAAGTTGTCGTTGTCGTTGTGTCATCCCAGTTAGAATTTATAATCCTTCAAGCCTGTTTCTGTCATCAGGGAACGTGTCACAGTCTAAACTATTCCTTAGCACTGATTATAAGCTAATTAGAACAAAAGTAGCCTTAAGCTTCAATGGTGGCCGTTGAGCAGGAAATCTTTGCCGACGTGCTTAGGAACGAGTGTTGGAGGGAAGCGAACGTACAGCCTGGTTCTCCTGAGGGACTTAGAGCAAAACCGGTTCGGTAAGACTGGAACCCAGCGGCGTCCTTATCCGAGAGTAATTCTTCACCGAACACCTTTATTACATTGCCTCAGTGTTCAGCTTTTTTAGGACTTTATGATATATTAAAGCTCTCCTTATGCCATCGACTTTTACTTCTCTGTTGTTCAAATTGAGTAATTATTTAACGAAAAGCTAGACATTTTTGTCTACCGACTTTTGAGTACGAAATTATTGTTTGGAAAAACACAGTTAACAGTTTTTAAATGAATAAATAAGACTAATCAAAATAGACAATGATTTAGAAGCTGGTAACCTCTTTATTTTATTTCCAGACTACAATGCTATCATCGCGCCAGTTAAATGTAAAGAATCCTCCCTCTCAGATCAGTCAATTTTAAAAATCCATTAATTGTAGGCCAAGTGTGCTAATGTTTCCTCCCTAGTAGTGGAGGTCCTAGGCAGGGTTCCTTGCCTGTAGTTTTTCTTCTGTTTGTTCAACGTACGTACACTGAGACCTTCCGCACTCTGTGCTCTTGTCTCACTTATTATACTTAACTCTCCATAAAAGTGTTCACCACATACGGCAGTTTCCCTCCATAATAGCTCCTTTAAATTATTGAAACAGCTTCTTACAGATAGATCTGTGCAGCAACATTAATGAAATCTTTCATTCAATGGTTTCACAAATGGGAGGTTACAACTGGATTCTATTTCGAATTAATTCGCTTAAATCTTCGTCATGGCACAAAAGAAAATGACTCATAGTTTGTTGTAGGATTTTCAAAGAAACCAATATCGCTGTTCGATCCAGATTCCCACCGTCAAAAATCAATACTTTCAGGGAAAATGAGTCGATGGGACACACTTCCATTGAACGCACGCGTTGCAAATCCGACGTACTATCCGTGAGCGAGATCCTTGGCTTCTATGTTTTATTGTTGACAGTTATTCACATGCAATCAACCTTTATAAATTCTAAAAGTACTTTTATTTTGTTTGACTAACATCAGGCATAAGCTAGAACTAAAGAGAATTTAGTCCTTTGCAAGTGAGAAATCATAAAATCGTAAAAAAAGTATTCCGGTAGAATTCCATGTGGAAGTCGATTTTTCGTACAACCAAGTTCTTGGCTATATTTAGATCCCCACCACAGGATCGCTTTCAGATTGCTTTTATAATAGTTGATTCTTTAAAAAAAACTGTTAGGAATAAATCTTCGAGAATGATCACAATTGATGCCCCTTTGGGGACTCGCATAGCACTTCTCGATTAAGCGCACCATATGGGTTTTCCGATGCACAACAAATATTCAACGATTTCATCATTCTGCTGGAAAGCGAATGCGGCAACACGATAGGTTTCCAGGATTTCCTAGATGAACTGTTTTTCTTGGCCAAAACTCATTTCGCTAGAAAGTAGTTAAGACTGATTGTTGTGAGCAAAATTTAGCATTTTCCTATGTGGAATAAAGTGCTACATCACGTTTTCGAAGAAAGACATAAAAGATTGATTTGGCCATAGCTAATGAGAATGTAACGTTCTCAATTAGTACTCATATAGAAGGTTCACAGATGAGTAGTAATAAGGCTTCTACTGATTGTCGGAACAGTTTTAGTTCAAGAGAAAACCATCGTGAGAAACACTTAGTGGTTAGGGTTTAAGAAGATGTGCATGATAGCGGATCATTAGCAATAGTAATCTTCTCATAAGCGATGCGTTGCGCAAGGCATGGAAGGATAAGCCTAACCAAAATAGCTACCAAATATTGTCGGTACATTCGCTGTTGCTGAAATAAGTTCATGATGTACGTTGAAGTAGAAAAGAAGAAGAGTTTTAGGCAAAACGCTGCAGCCGACATGTCCTCAGTGCTACAGAGTCAGCAAATCGTACCAGTAGCTGGCGCTGGCCCAGATGAGGTGCGTTTTCAGTGCGTCTAGTTCACAGCACAGAGGCACAATTCTCAATGTCAGCAATAATAACAATTCTGTTCCTCTTTTCTTCTACATTGGTCATGAAATGACTGAAGACATCGCTAAGGTGCTGCGTCCCTTCGCATTCTAAACTTGATCAAATGATTCTACATGGTTAAGAAACATGAAAGGCACCCTACTTTTCAAAGTCCTTACGAGAAATTATAGGCATATTCTTGGTTTTCCTTAATCAGCTTGACATTTTACAGAGTCGGACATTTCAGTTGTTTTTGAGCGCTCTTAAGATGAGAAGTTCTTAATGAAGTCGAGTGCATGGCGCATTCCTCAGAGATTGATCAGTGCCAATAGCTTTATCCCTTTTTATCTTTCACATCTCACAGAGTGTAACCAATTTTTACGGTTATCTATATTTTCGCTTCTACCGGTACTTATCACGAAGCAACGTTAAAAAATTTAGAAGGCTAGATTTGCTCCATTGTTTGTTCAACATGAGGCACAGAATGCAGCCACTTCCCGGTAATCCTTTCGATACGTTAAATGGTCTTTCACCTTGCCTATAGTTCTTTTCCTAAGTTTCCTAGACGAAACTAGGGATGAATTGCGCGATATGGACGTTCTTGTGTGTACTCCGCCACAAACTGTTGTTCCCGAGTTGCGAACCAAACTTCATCATGTTGATTTTTCTATTAGGTTAGTCAAAGCTGCAACTTTCTGGAGGTGCCCATTCTACTTAAAGTGAATAAGACAACTCTATATCTCAAAAAAGTTTCGAAGAGATTTTCTTTGGGCCAACGCGTAGATCGATCGTTATACCAAACTTCGAAATCGACCTGCATTCCTTTGCCTGATTTATGGTTGCTGAAGTTGCTAATCACAATTTACAATGATTTTTTATTTTTATAAGGCCGTGCGTGGCGCAGTGATTGGAGGCGCCACTGCGGCACACACATGGAACCGATCCCCGAGCCCGTGGGTCACCAAACCTTCCATCTCTCCGGAGTCGGCAAACTGGTACCAGACTTGTCTGGGAAAATAGCAGCACTGGCCCGATACATCGGTGGGTTACCGCGAGTCATTGTAAAGGCCAGATATACATTCAATCACGTCCAACGATGCTTAATGAAGTGGAATGCATGGCGCATCTCTCAGGGATTGATCAACTCTGAGAGCTTTATCCTTTTTATTCTATTTTATCCGTCATTAGATCTCATTAAAACTAAAGTATGTGGAAAAGAACTAGTGAATGGTAGTAAGGTGAAGAAAAGTGCAAATAGTTGATTTATTACTTCTTGACGCGTCTGTAGCGCAATGATTAGAGGCCCTTTGAGATTGAAGCGGTTATTGTGATCCCACATCCTGGACTAACCAAAATCCCCCTTTTCTCTGGCGTAGGTAAACTGTTACCAGATTCATCTAGAACGATAAAAACATCGGTCTTGTATATCACCTAGACAGTGCTCTATCGTATAGGACTAAATATGCATTCATTCACCTCTACAATGCTAAATAAAGTTGATTGCATGACGCATTCCTAAAGGATATGTAAAAGCAGAATGACTTATGCTTCAGCACCATTTCAGGTTTATCAACATGGTACGATCGGCACGTTCTTAAGACAGGAGTTGGAAGGTGAAATTTTCTAGCCATTAGAAAAGAAAAGCGGTTACAAGGGTCAGCAAATGCTAAATTAGGAAGGCATGGTGCCGGTCCATAGTGCTGCATTCGGAGCTTTTCACAAGAGTAACGTGATAGATCTTAGCACTGCCCTGGAGGTGATAGATCTAAGTCTTTCCCCCAGATTCTACTAATATTCCTAAAAATTCGCTAGCGGTTTACATTCGTTTTATTTCAGCTATCTTACCTTTATCATGGTGGAAACTGAAAATGACATTGTTATTGACGTCTGTTACTTGAAGTAGGGATGTTTTTGATTTTTGTACTGGACCGTCCGTTTTTTCAGGTGGCTTCTCTAGTTTCATTCGATGTGTCTATCAGGCGAAAAGAGTCAACAACAACACAGTCACACTTGTGTATGTTCCTCCTTTTGTTTTATTTTGTAGTTTTGACCGGAAATAGGTCATAAAGTGCTTTACTCAAAAATATAGATAACTGTCTGAAGCGCTGAAATTGGGATGAACAAATATTCCGAAATAGAACCATTTTCTTACTGTAATGTTTTCTTTTTCGGGATTTCCTACGCGAAATGCTATAAGGCTGAACTACTGCGAGTTTATAGCTTAATATACGCCGTTGTTTACAAATACAAAAACACACACACATACACACACGCACGCACACGCACGCACGCACGCACGCACACGTCCACACACATATTTAAACTTTTGCGCATGTTTTCAATATTTGTAAAACATGTTTAGGTCGGCTAGTTCTCAATTAATAATTAGCAGACCGAAGGAAAAAGCAGCTCATCAGTTTTCTGTGAACACTTGCGGGAGGGTTGCGAGCTTTCATATACCCACATAATCTGGAAATATTAGTAGGTCAAGTATTCTAGGTGATAAATTGGTTGACTACATACTGGTTGTCATTAAAACAAAAAATAGTTGGTGCTGGCGTATATCTGCGATCGCTAAAGGTCCACTTGTTTTCTATTGAATGCCCAGATTGCCCGATATCGTGACACACTCACCTCTCTGCTAAGGAATTTTTCTGTTGAAGTTATTCAGATACGGACATCGTATCTGGTGACGTGCCTACACAGAAAACTTTCTGCTGAAATTCTAAGTTGTCTGGAAAGTTCAATAGGTTGTAGGTGTTTCCTTTTATTGTTAGCAAGCGACTACGTGCGTAGGATTTCTGTTACTTACGGATGATTGCTGATGGCGCTGATCTATAGAACTAGATGAGAGACGGGCGAAACGAAGGACCTGCACTGTGTGGTGGTGAACACACGTTAACCCCCGGGAAAGGTAATAGTGCGTTCATTCCCCACCGCATACACCTGCGGCCCGTAGTTTTGCAAATATCTCTTCATCATTGTAGTTGTTTCGCTACTTATTTATTCCTTTCGCTCTTTTACTTTTAAAAAACTTTACACTTTACGAAAGCATTTTTCAAGATCTAGTCTTTGATGTTTTGTTTTCAAAAGAACTACAGCCCTTCCATTCTTTAGATGTGAACGCGATCAGGGATGTTGCGAGCACGGCTGTTGCCCGAAAGACCAGCACTGGTGAGTTGTGGCGAATTTTTCACGAAATCATTTGAGTCATTCAGAGATTTCGCATCTCTTATTAGTTCTACGCAAATCAATTTAAAAACAATAGCACATGTGGAAAGTACAATATCGTTCGAATAATCCTGTCGGCTTTGGCGTTCCAGCAAACCTTGACGGTTTGTTTTTAACAAAGGTTAACTCCTATGTGTTTAGCCCTTTATTGTTACGTTGTCTTCTATATCTACTAAAATTCCTTTTAAATTTAAGTTGGCCAGGTGATTAATTAAGGTATTCAAAACCTCTAAGGATACAGTCAGAGAGCGCCGTTGATAAACCTATGGTACAGTGCTGACCTCATTAACTTGATGGCTGCGAATGTCTTAAAGTTGACGGAGCATCGGGAAAGCGGTTTTAGAGCCTGCCGAGCTTCCAGGGCTTAGGAATAAGACCATTCGCCGAAAATGTGAGCTGCCTTAGAAAGGATGGAAAAGTGGAAGTCGTGATCATGATTTAATAACTTAGAGATTGAATTGAATGCTATGACATCATCTACGCTAAGAAAACGATTACAGCAAAGAAATATCTTTGGAGAAGTCGGAAAACTCATAAAGAACTGCAATATACGCATCTTCTTGCACTAATCACTCAAGAGTCAGCAGCATCGTTTTCAAAACACCTACAAATTGGTAGTCAGTCTATGAAAGATCTACATCTATGCTAGGCCCGGCAGAGTTTAGTAACCCAATTCTATCAAGTTTTGCAGCGCGTTAGGACAGGATCAACTCTACTTCCTGGCATAGCATAGTCACCAATCTCTCACTGACATTTTTTCAACCTATTTTTGAGGTACTATTTATATAGCACTATGCACTATTTTTAAATGCCTTGTATACTACTTGTGAAGTTTAAAGACTTTCACAATTAAGCTTAAAATTTCCGTGGACTCCTTCAACACATTAATTGTTTCCACAACCAAATGGTTCTACACTAGTGAAATAAAGACAATCGATATTGTTTGCAGGAATATGTGGACTGTATTGCTTTTATTTCGATTGGTAAAGTTTGCCTGTGAGTTGGGTTATGTGTTGTTCGAGTAGAACATAGAAGTTACCATCATTTTTTGATTTCATCCTATTAACTAATAGAAGTGTTTGGGTCCTCCGTGAGAAGAAAAAGTCATAGTTCGTCTTTTCTTTAGGATGACTGGAGTGTACGTGTTATTAGCGTTCGTGTTGTTGGTGTTCGTGGTAGGGACGGTGTTGATAATCGTCTGCTACCAGAGATCCAAAAGTAAACAGAGAAAAGAACAACGGCAGGCTATGGAGTACAGCGGTTATGCATCTTCTCAGGTGAAATTGAAATTTGAAATTGATTGAAATTGAAATTGAAATTGATTTGAGTTAATGTAACACTACCACGCTTTCTGCACTATTTTTCATCAGAACTTTGGGACTTCGGTTAGGAATGAGTTCCGGCTAAACAAAAACTGTTCTCCTGCTGAAGGCCAGAGAACACCGTTCTTCTCACAGTGGCATATCGGCCTTCGTTACTAACTTCTTGAAAACCTACCTCTACAGGAGCAGAAACAATGCTTGGCAGAACGATTTTCCAGCAGATCACCTCACATTCATCAATTATTATGGAGTCCATTTCTCATTATTACGCTTGTAGTAACTGGGTGTGAGGTGGTAGCAGATAATGGCGGTCAGTTGCTTTCGCAAAGCTGCACTTAATTGTGCTTGGATCTTCTGGTCCGATAGGGACACCTTGGTTTAGTGCAAAATGAGCTGCGCAATATTTAATTGATTTCGGTGTTAGCGGCGTCGATTCTGTTGCTTAAGGGGAAATTAGGAGCACCTGAGATCCTTGAGATTAGAATTCATAGAGAATCAGTCAAAAATAACGCTTTTACTCTAATTGACTGTTCTTCTCTACTCTTATAATTACTTCAAGGACTCTTCGGCTCTTTTTGCTTTTGTTTTAAATTTCAAAAAACAGGTTTATAGCTGGGCGGGCCTGGCGCGTATTCATCCTATGGTGGTCCTACATATTGAGTAGAAGATGTTCTAACGATGAGTCGACGGTTCCTTTCAGCATCGTGATGTACAAATCGATTTATGCCTGTTTTATATCTATATTTCTGCTCAACATATAAATTGCTCTTTGCCAATAAAGACATTGTATGGCTAAAAAAGCAATGCAGATGTGCTCACTTGAATGGAAAAACTGGCACCAACTCTTTTGTATTTTATTTCTTTCCATGATGGGAAACTGGGTTTCAGATACACAAGCAATAAACATTTCCTCGATTGATATATTTATTTATACGATGTTATAAACTGATCTTCTTTAGCTGATACGAAGTTGGTATAGGTCTTCGTTGTCGTTGTTGTTGTTGTTATTGTTCTTGTTAGTCGATGGCTGACGTTTCGGCGATTTCGCCGTAGGAAACTCTTAAGATCACGGCTCTGAGGAGGGCGAAATCGCCGAGAGGTCAGCGATTGACCAACAAGAACAACGGCAACAACAACAACAACAACAACAACGACAACGAAGACCTATACCAACCTCACACCAGCTATAGAAGATCAATGTGTAAAATCAAATAAATAAATAAATAAATATATCAACAATTGTTGCCGAGGTTTAGAGAAAGTCGGTCTTTTGAGTTATTTCCTCGATTAGCAGTTAGCTTTTTGAAGTGCATTAGCTGAAAAAGTACGCCTAAGTGTAGACGAGGAACAAATTCTTCATGCCATATCTAACAGTTACAGTTTTTACTACATTCATGTCAACCAACGTCTGCACAATCAATTTGTCTTTTCATGGAATAACATGTATTCTCTAAATCGCTCTTCTTTAAATCTTTCATTGTCCTCGACATGCAAGAAAGATCTATGACATTTCCTGCATTAATTGTTATGATAGGCTTCGGAGAAGCAATTCATCAAAGGGTGAAGTTTTATGGCGAGAGAATATGGCGTCAATTTTCTTTTCACGCACAGGGCACTGTATTACGTTATTAATGAGTACATTACTTCGCTATGAACCAGAAGTAGCGAAATAGTCTGTAAAACTTTTCCTTCATTAGGTTAAATTTTTAAGTCATCGTTGGCCACCATATATCTTCCTCACTAAGGAATCCTTAACGGCTAAGTCGCAAGGCTACGTGGCACGGGTTGCGGATAGGGATTAAACACAGACCAAAAGCGATTTCGAACTTCTCTGGAACAAAGATGGATCCATGAGATTGAAACCCTGTTTATGTTGTTCTGAATGGGTGCGTACTTTCTGTGTTTACACAGAAAAATTCATGCAAACGTTTATTGGTGTGCTTTGTTTATCCAGATTACAATCTACAAGTCAGCTCGGCCAATAGCTTGGAGTCAGGTGACTGCGAAGTAAATGGGTTGTGGTTATAAGTCTTCTCCGACACGTCTGCTCTGAGACAGAGTGGTATGCTAGTCGTGCGGAATTTATTTTTTCGAGGTTCAAGTCCTAAATGAATGGGTTCGAAAGATGGATTGTATGCATATGAATACTTCGTATATGCAGCGTTTCTTTTGATCGATGATCAGCCGCGAATGGATCGGAAACGGCACGGCAGCTTAATTGTTACACCGCCGCCAGGAAGGGATCTTGCTCAAAACAGATTTGATGGCTGTAGTTTCGACGGAACCATTGAGAACTATAATTATAGCAAAAAAAGAAAGAAAAATGCATTATGCTATGGGTGGGATTGCTGATGCTTTGCAGTTGTTATCGACGAAACATTGTATGATTGAAAGCAAAAAGGAGTGTAAGAATAAATGACATCATATGACAGAATCAAACCGTGTCAGGGAAACGAGATGATGAGCGCGATGTATTGGAGGTACCACTACCGTCAGAAAAGTGCTACTTTTCTAGAATTTTAAAGAGCAGTGAAAATTAACAGGCCCAGAGCTGGTATAACTTTAGTGGATATGTTATGCATTAGACTCCATTCCAGGCGTCTTAGGGGTGATTAAATACATACCTGGCCTAACATGTGGTGGCATACCGTTGAATATAAAAATTGGAAACACGATTAAAAGACGATTGAATCAGGGTAAAATAAATTTTCACTAGGCGATAACAATCAGTCCTCCGTCGCCATTCATTCCACTGCTTATACGTTCTCCAAATAATATCCTAATTACGAGCGAAAATCTAGTAACTAATATGAACTTTTGGGAACAAATGAATGCCTGAATAAACTAAGGCTAGACCTTTTCCTCACTTTGTAAAGCTAATATTTTGAGAATTTGACTGTTACATCGTCAACGATCGGCTCCTTGACCTATTCCAGGAATCAGTGTCCCTCAGTCCCTTTCACTGACGAGCTAACATGATGTTGGTAAAAAAAACTTTATTCCGTTTATGCTTCGGAGTCTTCGCCTTCTTCAGAGCCAAATTGATCTAAACTAGTTATCTGCAGTTGTCCTTTCTTCCGATGTAGGTCTCCAAACAATTACCAACAGACAATCACTAAACTTCTCTGTATAGAACATCGCTACCTAGGGAGGTCCTCTCATTCGAACGGTGAACCACTAGATTAGACTCGGTGCGAGCAAGAAGACAAACATAAGAAGAAGCAACTATGGACACTCGACACTGATCAATCCTGCTCTGAAAAAAGCGAAGGCTCCGAAGCGTTAGCTGAACAAAGCTTTTTATCAACGTTATGTTAGATTATCAACGAAGAAATAAGGATTAGTCATGTCTTGATTAGAAGCCTACAAACCACAGTCGAACTCATATGCAAATCAACCATTTTCATGCATGACGCTTGAAAAATTTCAAGAAATCCAATGAAAGAAGTAGTGAGATATGAATGGACTATGACGATGGTCCTTCCAAGTTTAATCCATATGAAAAAAAACTTTCCCTACTTTACAATTTTGTTGAGAACTATTTTCATACAGTGTACCATTACCATACTATTTTTTTCATACAGCATTTCTTCCTTAAACTGTTAAAACATGAATAGACAGTCTTTCAAAGACGTTTACTAACGTCACAAATACTCTGCTTCTTCAGCATCACATAGTTAAAAATTCTTTCTGTCTTCAATGAAGATAAACATAATCCTTGGGAAGTAATTTATTATTTTACTTTCAACGCTTAATCTTTGAGTACTGCAATGTTATGAAGTAGGGTGTTTCAAAAATGAATGTTTCTTGAGAATTTCACTCAGTTGACACTACACGAAGTTTCTGAAAATATCAAAGCTTAATCAATGGCAGTCTCTTCGAGTTACTGGTCGTAGTTCACTTACTCGTGATGGGCCGTAGTGGATGAATGATATTGTGGAGTTGTTACGTGCTGAACACTCGACCCCTTCTTCTATGCGTCGTTTCTCGAAAAACACCATGCCGGGCTGAAGTGCCGTTTTTGATATTTAGACAAAACTGACAGTCTATGGGAATCGGTAGAGTGTATGTATTAGTGTACCGCTCGCGGGTCCGCAGGTTCTACCCAAAGATCGGCCGGTCCTCTAATGTGAAGACAACCGTCGACAGCCGCACAAGGTGCAACTAGGGTGATCTGGGTCCAACATCTGAAAACAATTTTCAATGTTTTTTTCTATTCGCATAAATTCTCCACAATAGATGAACCATTTTCATCTACCGAACATATTCCCAATCTGAGTTATTTGCATGGATTCGACTCTATTCGAACCTGCGACTACCCTTTCCGGAGCTTCACGTGTTGCACACTTCCGGAGCACACTGCACCACTAAAGCTCCTGCTTTGTCTTCCTCTCAACCAGTTTTTCACAGTAAAAAGTGCATGAGATAAAGTTACCCAGATCAATTTCGTTAATAGGGGCTTTCTCACGGTGGTAAAAAGAATAGCTGAGAGAAAGGCAGTGCAAGGGTTTCAGTTGTGCAGTGGGTAACACGTGAACCGCTGGAAAAGGGTAATAGCGGGCTCGATTCTGGCCTGGGGTCGAAGTTTTGCAAATGACTCAGCACCATTGTGATTATATTTTATATAATAACGTGCATGAAAAGTAATAGGCTGTAGATAAAAAATAAACACTCTTCTGTTCTATTGTCGACTCAAAGTATTCTTCCATAAGAATTTTCATGAAGAAATTTTCATTCAACCGCAAGGAATACAGAGTCTTGGGTTGTCATGAAGCAACATTGATCATTATTATTATATTATGATGAAAACTGATATTGTCCTTTTCCACTGACCAATGCCGGCCGCTTGACTCGTAGTTTTTGATGTATTTCTTCGACTTCAGCACAATATTTCTCTGATTTAATCGTTTCAAAAGGTCCTAAGAATTTAAAATGAACCGTACCGACCACTGACCACCGAACGGAAAGCATTGTGTTCTTTTGATGCAGTTTCAGTTTAGGCACGTGTTGTGGGTTTTAACTGGCGCCTAGCCATTATGCAGAACGGCGACGGTTATCGTAAAGTATCCATTTTTCATCGCGAGTTATAATGCGATTCAAAAATAAATCTCTATAGTTGCGAATTAGTAGCGCGTTGAAAATTTCCAGTCGATGAGATTTTTGCGCTTCGTTGAGTTCATGTGGAACCCGTTTTTCCATAATTTAACTTCACCAATCTGTAGGTGATGTAAAATGGTCACAGCACTAACTTCAGAAACTGTCGCAAGTTCTCGGACCGGGATGTCGTGGATTTAATCCAAATTCGAACAAAGTACGAAGTGCCTCATCATTATCCGTAATTTCTGGCCTACTACGCTCGTTGTTTGCAAGGTTCTAGTTCCCGGATCCAAACTTTGTGTACCAATGACCAGTGGTTCGTTCGTTAACAAAGCCGTTTCCAAACGTGGCATTGATATTTCGACCTCATGCCGTGGCATTATGTCCACTCTTCTACCCGTACAAAAAAAGGACACGAAAATCATGTTGATTCTTACTAAAGTTAAAGTCTATAAAAATCTTAAAATAAGAAATCTTAAAAAACAATGTTAGATTGAAAAATCAGGTTTTTGATCCGAAAACATATTAAATTAAATATACACAAAGAGCAAAATTTTTATTTAAAGAAATTGCACGGATAATTTAGCAAAATCGGACATTTCATATGTTACAACATAATGCTTGCAAAAAATCATTTACTATGCGCTGTGGCTTCCAACAGAGGGGCATGCCCTTGGCAATTTTTCGGCTCGATAATGCAAACACTATATGAATGGCATGCAATACGTACTTGACCGAGTGAAGCACGAGAACTTTACGCCTCTGGCGTATTCCGAAAGAATTTCCCTCACCCGACAATGCCAACTCGACCCTCTGGAACCGTCAGTTGCTCGGCTTTGGTGAAAGACTTCCCGCGACTTTGAAAAGCAGTCCAGAAATTTGAAACAACGTTATCTTCCTGCCTGAATGTAACAGCTTTCAGTTATCTTAACCCTTTTATTTACTGCCTTTTTCTTCTTAATGGCAGGGTATGTTGCGAAATATAACTCGTATGAAATGCTGAGATATTTACAAAACTCCGGACCGCAGGGGTATGCAGTGGGGAGCGAACACGCGCTGTTGTCCTTACTGGGGAGCAGCGCACTTCACCTTAGCAGCTTAACTGGGTTCAATGCCGATTTGGGATCCCCAGATCAATCCCGTTGACGGGTGATTGCTGATGGCAAAAAAGATTGATAGAACTAGCTGAGAGACAGGCAAGACGAAGGACCCGGATGCTGTAGTGGTGAAGTGCGCCGCTCCCCGGTAAGGACAACAGCGCGTGTTCGTTCCCCACTGCATACACCTGCGGTCCGGAGTTTTGCAAATATCTCAGCATTTCATACGAGTTTTCAGTTACTTAGGAAAACCAACAGCACAACAGCTTCCTTTTTTTCATCATTCTTCAAAAGGCTTACATCCTAGTATGTCGCAGTTCGATCATTAGTCTTTCAGCCTGAACGTTGTTACTAACAATCGTGTAAACTGCAGGTTCTGCCTTCACCACCTCACCAATGATTTCAGCGCTCACTTCCACCATTTCGCAGTATGTCGTTGTTTCGTACCTATAAAAAACATTCTGCGTCGATCAATCCTTTATCTTTATGCATGCGTCATTCTTTCCACATACTAAACTGCGTAGAGGTGATTATATATATATTATATATACATATATATATACATATATTATATACATATTATATATACATATATATACATATTATATATATATATATATATATATATATATATACCACATGGAGTGTCTAGCTAGGGATTGTCGTCATAGAAATTCAATTTTTTTTTATCTCTCCAAACAAGCCTAGAACGAAGTCTTCTACGAGTGGGGGGAATGAGGGTTTCGCTAGTCCTAGTTTGCTCAAAGAACCACCAATGGTTTCACACATAAATACCAGGACATCTCGAACAAGTACCCTAAAGGCGCCCTTCTTCTAAATACACAACAACCTTTTTTAAAAAATTCAGAGCTAGATGACATAAAGCTGTCTGCGATATTCGCTATTGAGGTCTGTCAGTCATCCTTCGACGTTCGGCGGTCACTGTTTTCTTTTCGGTGGCACGAAAAGAAAGCGATTTACAGACGATTTAGGATGTAAGAGTACTAACACTTCTAGTTCCAGGCATACTCTGGCTAAGTTTGTTTTTTTCACCAGTGTGAAGGAAAAAGTGGACTTTGTCTTTCTACCAAATGAACTCTATAACGTAAATGTGTGGCAATAACGTGAAATTATATATTCCCGTGAAACACCACAACAAGCGTGAACAACGAAGGCTTCTGAAACGGGTCTGCGAAAGAGAGGTGTCGCTTTGTCAATTAGTTCGCGAAAAACGTGGATACGATGAATAGTCTACTGCTTGGTAGACTTCCCAACCAACCCGGCAACCTTTCTTACTTCGCCTAGAGTTACAATCACGTTCACGCAATCTTGAATTTTTTCTCAACGGATAGAAATTCGCAATTCAAAGAGGTTCAAGCGGTGTCCTACTAAATTTGTTTAAAAAGTTATGAAGTCAAAGGCAAAAAAATTGTAGCCTACAGCGAAAGACTTGCAATGAGCAAAAACACCTTATCGGAACATTAATCATTAGTTTGGTTGAGGAAAGCGTTCTTCATACCGTCTTCTTGTCCACATCAGCGGCAGAAGACGGCCAGTCCAACCGGACCTAAGAATATTTCTTTCGGCAATAAATTCTCCCTGAACGACATGAGTATCGTAGTGTCGATGGCGACATTTATTCAGTGGAATCCACTCAGTGACCCTTAAAGTGTCATTTCTGCGTGACATTCTCTCTAGTTGGAGTCATGTTTTCTCAATACTCAGGCTTAACCAAACACTGCCGGAATACAAAAAATACAGAGTAAGATTAGAGATTCGAGAGGATTTCCAAGATTTCAAAGACTTCAGAAGCTCACCGACAAACGCCCTTCTTTAAAAACCACATACTTCTTCCATCGGTAGCGATTCTTATGCCGCACTCAAACTTTCTTACCTAAAATTGAGTTTCCGGTGTGGAGAATATCTCATGACAGGCCACCCAGACACGTAGATGGGTTGCAAACGAAAGAATAATGATGAGAATATTACTCACTTCTGAAGAGCAAAGAGCTCTATTAAGAATATCGACCACTTTATGTCTGCTACTTTCACGTAATGGTCGGATCCATTTCACGCTGTACAACCAGTCCCTATGAGTAAATCCTTTATTCAAAAAATGAAATACATTGGCTCCCCAGATCAATCCCGTTGACGGGTGATTGCTGATGGCAAAATGATCGATAGAACTAGCTGAGAGACATGCAAAGCGAAGGACCCGGATGGTGTAGTGGTGAAGTGCGCTGCTCCCCGGTAGGAACAACAGCGCGTGTTCGTTCCCCACTGCATACACCTGTGGTCCGGAGTTTTGCAAATATCTCAGCATTTCATACGAGTTATATTTCGCAACATATCCTGCCATTAAGAAGAAAAAGGCAGTAAATAAAAGAGTTAAGATTGAAATACATAAATTTGTTAATTAGAAAAGTATAGTCATTTACGATTTATGAGAGAGAAGAGCTCGGCCACATTTTTCATATAAGGTGTCATGCAAAAAAGTGGAGTTTGCCCTGCCTCCTTAAACGTCTAAAACATATCGATGAAGTATCGTGCTCACTTAAATGATAGGCTTGGTATCCAGAGGATTCGGTCTGCGCTGTCACGAAGATCAGCTACCACTTCGCTCCACTTTTCCTTAGAGTCGGCCGGCATGAAACCCTCGCTGCAAAAACAGTGGATTGTTCACCTCTTTGAGCACTTCACAAGTCCATTTAAGTTCTCACGTCTTCAATGAATTCAATATGGTTTCGAACTGATAGCTCATCATTCTCACGGCTTGTCTAGTTTTTATCACTGATACGACATCGATCTCGGCTGCGTTTTCTTTCAGCTCTAGACGCATTAGCCCTTCAACAAGCTGAAAACAACTCGTTTTTTGGTAAAAAGGAGTGCAAGCATTCCTAGTTTTCAAAGCCGTTAGCAAAGAAGTCTTGGGTGAAATGTCTGCAATTTAAGAGAATGCAGTAGAAGGAAATCCTTATGACACATGTTTTAACTTCTATTTTCTACCTATTCCTTTTCATTGTAGGGTATAATTTCAAATAGGAATGATGAAGTATGTCCAAAATTCGGAAACTTAGGTCCGCTAAGGGCCTCGGTTTGTGTGGGCGATAGCATGTGAGACCTCGGTAAGGCTAATCGTGGGTTCGAAGTCCAACTGGAGTTCCGAGTTTGCAATTATCTCAGCATCCCTATGGTAGTATTTTACGTCATACCTCGTCATGAAATAAAGGCAATACATAAAAGTTAAAACACTGCGATTTCAACTGCAGCTTCAGACTAACTGGTTTAAATGTTGATTTATTATCGCTAATACTATGAAAGAGAAAAAAGCAAATCAAGAGCCTCATTTGGTGTGATGAATAGCATGTAAGCCCGCGGTAAAGGTAATCGTGGGTTCGAAGTCTTACTGAGGTTCCGAGTTTTGTACACATCTTCCTACGCTTTTATAATGAATGTTACGAATTTCCTTAAAGTACCGCGTTTTGGTAAATTCTTGATGATTCTTTCTCATCAACACTATGCCACTTATATTCACGTAACACACCATATTAAATAATTTTCCCTCTGCTTGAGCGATCTTATAGGCGGCTTCGCTGAAAAGATCGCGTGAGATTTTTGTTTCGTTCATTAAATGATGGAGGTAGTAGAAGACAGCGAGACGAATGCGTGCTCGCATCAACTGAAATGCTCCATTTCGAATTCTCTCAATATCCGATATTTAAAAAAATAAGAGATCAAAATCGTCAAACAAGAGCTTCTTTCCACTGAAAACTGCAACGGTGAAGTCAGAAAACCATTTGTCGACTTAGAGAAAACCTACACAACAATAGTTAAGAGCTTTCTTAAGCGTCTTACAAACGGGGTGCTATGATTACCTCATGGAGAATCAAATGCATTCAAATAAACATTCAGACAGACTGGAACTATCAAACAAGAGATCTTCGAAAAAAAGACCAAAAATTATTATTAACCTGACCCTCTTTCACTTTGCTAATTCTCGTTAGTCTACAGAAAGATTCCAACATAGTCACCATTTAGAGGAATATGACGCTGGTATTCGAAACCTAATTGAAAGTAGAAGAATGTCATATCTATTAAATTAAAAAAGGATAAAGCAGTCAGCCTTGAGAGGTGGTTAAATGCATATCTGGCCTTTATAATAACTCGCGGTGGTCTGCCGATGTATCGAGCTAGTGCTGCTATCCTCCCAGGCAAGTCTTGCATCAATTTGTCGTCCCCGGAGAGATGGAAGGTGTGGTGAGCCATGGAGCTGGGGATCGATCATGTGTGTATCGCTAGGCTCCTCAGACCTCTGCGCCACACGCTCCCTCACTGTTAACTTAACGCCATAAAGTATCGAGTAACACACACCAGATGTGGAAGAGAAATCACCAAGAAGCTCTTCAATAGTGAATCAACCACTAGAGGTGGGATGGCCAAAACAAGAACAAGTTCGGACCATCCGCTCGCTTCAAAGAATGCCAAAATTGATCACTTTTCTCATTATCACAACGATCAACAACATTCTATGTGAAATCTAATTATACAGGCAAACAAGGCAAACTTTCCTTTCAACACCGTCATAAAGCAAATCTCGGCATAACGTACACATAGAGTATTTCTAATCCATTGACACCGATCTTAGCAAGGCGGATTCATGTTGAAACTGATGTCGACCCGTCCTCGGCATTTTAACGCCCAAGGATACTCCCAAAACAACATAAAAAGTGCACATTCAAAATCTCAATATTCTATTACAATGAAATGATCCCAAAAAATAAGGCCACTACCAGTAATGCCTTGTGAACAAAACTCGTCAGTTTTCGACCTGGAAAGCTTTATTTCGAGCCATTATCCTATAGAATGGGAACATCGTGAAAAAATAAGGAGGCGTCTCATAACCTCATAATACTTTCTTCAGGTAGTAATGAAGGTGGTGTCCGGATGTCCGGAAAAAATTGAATCGGCCTGGATGGACATCCACTTGAAGCGGCGTCCACCATAAGGACATGCGTCGCATTTGTCAGCGAAAGTCGAGGAATCAAAACGGTCGACCATACAGAACAAGAGTTGAGCTAGAGCAGAAGAAGGTTGCAAGAGAAGAGGAGGTGGTAGAGGACAAAAGTGTTGAGATTAAAAACGCCGATATATGCCGAGAATGATGCAAGTGTTGCGGCGTCGCTCAACGTAAGATTGAAATTCAGCTTCTTGAATTCAAAGAAGTTGTGAACATGAACGAGGAGATTCCGAGCGAAGTTCTCCGAAACGGTCAAACCTTCAGAAAGCGAGCTACTCACGATAACGACGAAGCTGGTAGAAAATTGTTGAGAACAGTTTCAACTTTTCTTTAACCAAGTAACAAATGTGAACATTTGGAAATTGGAAAAATCCAAGTAAAAAGCATAGAAAGAGAAACTGAAGAAGTGGCAGACCCTCATTTCAACACTTCGTTCCCGTAGCATTATAACCAGAAGTGGAGTCATTCGGGTCAGTTTATAAAGTGTACAAATCATAACAAGAATAAAAGTAGTAACCCTCATACAGCGACATTGAGCTGAAATGGCAACAATTTCCTAATTCGTCAAAATACACATACTTTGTTGAGAAACATTCCTAGGTCAAAAATCAATATTCGATAGAAATCAGGGAAGAAAATTCGACAATTGTTAGAAACCAGTGGTCAGCGTTCATAAGGATAAGGATGAGCATAAGGCTGTCAGCGCTGATCAATCCCTCAAGAATGCATCATGCATTCGACTTCATTAAGCATAGTTACAGGTGATTGAATGCATAACCGCCCTAACCAGTATTCGCAGTGGTCTGCCGACGTATCGAGTCAGGATGCCTATCCTCCCAGACAGGTCTGGTACCAATTTTCTGGCCATGGAAGAGTGAAAGGCTTTGTGAGCATGGAGTACGGGATCGAACCCAAAGTAGGGCACCTCTAACCACTATGCTGCACATGTCCTGCGTTGATAAGATAACACAGTATTATAATTGGACACCACAGACTTCTAGAAATTTTTCTACAGTTTTCTTCATAGCAGTTTTTTATGATGAACTGCTATCAAAGATATTTTTCTGATAACGAAGGGAAGAAAACCGTTACCGCTATTGAATTCTGCTCCTTTTATGCAGAATCCTTTATTTAATATGAAAACACTGAGCAGATATGCTATCGTAATCATGAAGCATGTAAGAATTTCTGGCACAGTTTTCTTGAAGTCTAAACGTCCGAGGTAACGCGAATGTTGTCGATTTCTGGATTTCTTGTCCTAAATCGGTTTAGATTTCTGGATTTCTCAGATTCTTTGGAGAAGGTTACCACTATTGCCATTCGATTGTAACATAAACGAATGAAAAAAATAGAAAAAACTGTTAAAATAACTCTAATAGTCACCGCATAAACATTTTTTGATTCATGGTTGCAAAGAAAATAAATCCAAATGTTGAGTGATAATACATGAATTCCCATGCATTCCCTTTCGTTGAAAATTATTATTCGCACTAAGTAAGTTGGACGAGTTATCCTCAAAGCTCGTATAACACTCATCATCCGTTCTGAACACTAGGCATGTTGACAATGCTGCTCAGATATGATCTTCATGGAAACCCAGTTTCGAACTCGTGATTATCCTTTTCGCGGGCTCACATGTTATCCACTGCACCACCGAAGCCCCACTCTTGCCTTTCTCTCGGACAGTTCTCTATCCTAACGGTGTTATCAGGAACTACCAGTGAGCGGGAATGACCTGCTGCCCAATAATGTTTTCTCCATATCAGGGTATTATGTGAAGAACGACGACAATCATGCTGAGATATACTCTGCCATAAAAAAAATAAGCAGTAAGTAAGAGTTAAGGTAAGCAGACCCTGCAATCGCACTAACGATCGTGGAATGAATCGCCCGAAAAAATCACGTTGTCTCTGTGGAAGTTGGCTCGGTTACGGTTGCTGGTCACCAATGCTTCTTTTTAATAAAAATTCGCCATGTTTACGGTGTTTTTTAAAATTTTAAATTCATGTTACGGTTTTGAGACTCCAAAACAACAACTGTTCGATGAAGTTGGTAGCAAAAGGACTACCACATTTCCACTTGCTGATTTGCTATCGTTTTTGTTCGTGTGAATAATATACAGCGTTTCAACCACATTCATAATCCATATCACCATTAGGAATAGGTAGATCACAGCCCGAGTGACGTCACCGGCCTAAATGTGTGGTAGGGAGAGAATGCACAGTACGGCAGAAATTGACAACGGCAATATCGAACTGACATCATCAAAATTCACATAAGCAAGGAATACACAGTAGAAACACATGATTTCCGTGGCAAATATCCACCATCTGCAATACGGAGATTTTAAAATGTTTCTCCAATTAAATTCCATCTTGTAGTGATATTTTTAAGTTTGTAACGTCCTACAAGGAGACAAATAGCGCAGTGGTTGTAGGCACCTTACGATGAACTTCATTGTTAGTTCAATACTCCTGTGCTCCGGAGGTCCTCTATCTATCTCTGGAGAAGGAAGATCGACAGCAGACTGATAAAAACAATAGCTTGATACACTGTTAGACTACTGCAGGACCTTGTAGAAAATGGGAAAACATGCATTCAGTCTCAGTACGGTGCCATAAATGGAGTTGAAAGCGTGGTGCATCCCGAGGGATTGACCAACGCAGAAGGGTTTATTTTTATAATTTTTTAAAAAGCATCTTAGTTACTACATTGTAATGAAATCCGTGGATTTTATATTTCTCAGAAGGCGATATCATCGATTAGTTTTCATTCGTAAATTATTGAGGAAGCCGTTTCGCAAATAAGGAAAAAGGTTATTCTAAAATAGCTCGAAGAAAATTTACCGCTCAATCTTAAAAGCCTTTACTAACTTCTCAAACGGCCTCGAAGAAGCGTAATGGATGTCGTCGGTCTTCACTAATGACACAAGTGGACAGTTGCCAATTTCAGCAAAACGATTCAGCCACGTATCGTGACAAATCCAGAGCTAAAACAGAGGCCACTGTTTTCTGAGGCATGATCTTTCGTCCTTCAACGCCAGAGTGGGACATTTAGTACAATAATCCAGTATCAATAGTTTTAAATCGATAAAAAAAAATGGATAATAAACAGTTATAAAGCCGAGAAATACTACTTCAGTGAACATTTTAACAGTTGTCCTAACTCTTGAAGAAACGCTCACTCACAAATAATCCTTCGGAAATCCTGAACATCACTCTTTCGAAGCAATTAAAGTCAACAGCAGCTAGATAGTGCTCGATGTCGTCGGCTGTGATCTGACCTTCGTCGATACCATGCTCCAGAATCGAGATGACGATATGTGCAGAGCAACCGCTAATGGCCCCACGCTTCCACGAGTCGTGAACCTGAATCAGGGAATAATCGCAATTTTAGAAAACATGTACATAAATGTCTTGTTGACGTAGGATTGACATAGCAATATTTCTACTTTCACTACAACATTGTTCATCGTGTTAAATTTTATTTACTGCATACCACAATTTTTCACAGCAAGGTATTATGTGACATACATCCACAACGATGTTGATGTATTTTCAAAACTCCGAAATGCAGGTGTCTGTGGTGGAGATCGAACAAGCTGTTACCCTCTCCGGGGCTAACGCGTTCACCACCACATAGTGCGGGCCTTTCGTTTCGTCTGTGTCTCAGGTAGCTTTCTTTCTACCAGTACCATCAGCAATCATCTGTCAAGGGGATTGATCTGGAGAGCATAAATCGGCATTGAACACAATTAAGCGGAGACTGTAGTCGAAATGACAATGTGAATTATTCATTTTATTTTTTCTTAGGCTGTTTTGCTATATCATAGTAAATCAACTGCAGCGTCATTGTTCCCAAATATGTTATATCGAAAGTAGTTGGAATGCTCAGATAGTTCTAACTCGAGCCAAAAGTATTCCATAATAGCCGGTGCGAGCGTCCACAACATCTCCATGCTGCAACCTCTCCTTGCTACCAGGACCAGTGATTTCCTCAAGTGCGGTTTCATCCTGTTGTTGCATCTGAAACGTGTTAACGTTAATGAAACTTATTCGTGAGACCAGTCGTACATCCCTAACACGATTTCCATTCAAAGGCTATATTGCTGTTGTAGTACGACTTCTTTCCTATTCCTAAAGGAACCCGTGAAAAGTGTGAGTTCTGAAAAAAAAATCGTTCTGAGTTATTTTCAGTATGTCACTATTTACAGTCGTCCGTCGTCTACATTGTAGAAAGGCTTCCTGTCTCAAGATTAAAGTTTTCCCAAGTCGATCTCGCATTTACACCTGATAAAGTTTTCGAGTTAAAATGTCTAAGCTCTTTTCAGTTTGTATAAAGATGTTACGGTTCAAAAGTCCGTAAACGCCCTTCATGGAGACCCAGAAGCACCTCCACGACACATAATGAAGTGGTGAACCACAACGGAGGAGTATATTAGCAGTTTCCGAGTGCCTTTCTTTCCGCACCCTCTTTGACTTAAATTTGACATTTGATGTATGAATTGCTCCTGATAATATATAAATATGTAGAAAAATATTTATCGATCGTGCCATTAAATGGAAAGTGGAAGCTGGTGATTTCGAGAAGATGCTCCTTGAATGGAAAATACGTAAATTAAACGTAGGCCAGTGGAAGTACGTTATTAAGCAGATCCATTGAGTAGCTTAATTTCCTAGCTGTTGTTTCCAGACCAAGAATGAAACCAGCGAATTCCATGTTTTTATGGCCCCAGTCGTGAGAATTCTCACTGACAATTCGTAACAGATTCATTTCCCGTGGAGATTTGAGCCTTCAAAGAAATGGAGATAGTTGGTATCGTGTTTGGTTGCTCTTAGATACTAGTGTTGAATAAACCATACTGTATTTCTCCAAGGTCTTTCATGGCACTTAGATAAGGTGCCACTTTCTAACAGCAGTTCCAGAGAAGCGATTTATTTGGACTGTGCAAAAATGATGCAACGCTTTTTCATCTTAAATTTGCCGAGTGTATTTTTCATTAAATATTCATTACTGACATTGCTACCGTAGACTTGCTGCTGCACCGCACTTTAAAGCTTGTTTCTTAATAGTTTGCTATTTAGCTCCTTTTTATAATACTTATTAGACTGATTTAAGCAGATATAGGTGATATTCTGAAGTCACGGAAATCGCGACGCTTGACTTACAGCTCTTATACTTGGATATAAAGCAACGGTAGCATCTTGAAATGTCGCCGTAGGACGACACGGGAGGTGCATAATACTTAGATGGTTATTAAGGGTTCGTATTGGAGAAACGAAAGCACATGACAAAAAATGTCGGTGGAATTCTGTTCTATCAGACTAAATACACTTGCATCCTTGTGGCTAAAATGTGTATACTCGAACGGTTCTCGTTTTAAATAATAAAGTTGTGTTTTAGACTAGTTCAGTTCTAAGATTTCAAAGTGGCGACGCAAAATTTGTTATTCAATTTCCGGCAAACCAATGTTATGAAAAAGACGATGAAATTGGCTAAATAGAACAAGAACCAGTACCATCTCATTCTCCATTTGTGCTTCATGCTTTTTAAGGCAGTCGGTTGTCTGCTTCTTGACGACATGCCAATTCGTTCCGACCAGATATCTGCTGCGGTTCAGCCGCATCACGTTTAGGGCTTCGCGAATCTGAACGGAGCTTCTCGATGATTCCGTTCATGTAGAGTGGATTTCTACTACTTATGTTGAGAAGAAGTTTAATCTAGAAGAACACAGATGCATGCGTGCATGTGTCGGAGTATGTATGTAATGTATGTATATATGTATGTATGTATGTGTGTATGTGTGCATGCTTGTATGTATGAACACGTGTGTGTAGGCGTGTATATGCGCATGTAGGTCTATGAGTGAGTCTGTAGGTGTGTTATGTATGCCGCTGACTACGGATTGAATAAGAAATGTATTAGGCAAGTATTAGAAGTACAAAAGCACAAATCAGCCGCTCACTTTGACGTCAAGAAAACGACAAAGACGCACACATGTGTCCCTCACATACTTGGAACGTTTCGTGGAACCCTCCTTCGTTGCCAAACTGGAGAAAGTCATGCCCTAAACGGAAATAGTCTATTTATAATAACCATTAATGAGCAAAGCAAACACTAACTTTGGACTAACATGGTATTTTATTGTATCAATTTCAAGTAGGCGCGCTTGGCGCAGTGGCCGGAAGTGCTCTGCGACGCACACATGGAATACTTCCCCGCGGCCGTGGATCACCAAGCCTTGCATTCCTCCAGAGTTGGCAGATTGGTACAAAACTTGTCTAGGAGGTTATCAGCACTGTCTCGATATATCGTTAGGCCACCGCGAGTCATTGTAAAGGACAGATATGCATTCAATCACCCCCAAACGAAGCTTAATGAAGTCGAATGCATGGCGCATCCCTCAGAGATAGATCAATGCCGAAAGCTTTGCCCTTTTATCCTTTAGCAGTTTAAAATAGCCAAGTAGCTGCTTTTTCAATAAGCAAAAATTTCTATTATTTTTTGTAACTGCACCTGAAACACGAGACACGCAAAAGTGGTGGAGCACGTTAGCAGCAAAATCCTCTTGGTCATCTCGACAGCAATCTAAAACAACGAAAAGTTCAGTAAATTCAGCTTCAGTAAAGCAGAAAAAAGCTCACTTTATTATGCAGCTCCATAGCCAAAATCAGACCAAGAGCTCCTCGTAGACCAGAATAGGCGAGTATTGTGAAATCTGCTCTTGGAGGAAGTGGTTGTTTAGAAATAATTCCGTAGTACTGTAAGCGAGTGTAGTGTTTAACAGTTGTAATGTGTCATTTGTTATCAGATTCTAGGCTTCTAATCGAAGCTGGGCAGTTCCTTTGTTTTATCTTTTTCTTTCGCCGAAGCTCAAGGAAAAAATTTTATAGAGCTGTTAGCTGAATTCGATGACATATCTCATATTTGAATAGTTGCTCGTAAAAGTAGGTGCACACAATTTCTGAAGCCTAAAGCAGGCTTTCCTTCCCACGCACTTTCGTGGGAGACTTTCGCTCGCCACTTTATTCAGTAGCATTCTGCTTTACTATGGCCAGGATGCCATTCAGCACATTTCTTTTGCTAACCATCTTTCATGCTGATCAGAAGGTAATAAGTACTGCAACGCCACTAATTCACTTTATATCTTTAAACGCTATCGAAAATCGCCTTCTTTTCAAAACGTCCAGGAGGCGCGCACGTGGCTGTAGAAACAGTGAAGTTGCCTGATACCTTGTAAAAGATGTACACTGAGGCGATTCTGGCAAACAGTGGTATAGGTGCAAGCAGAAGTCCTTCGATAAAAGTCATCATATCTTCAATGTCGACTTCCAAATAGCCAGAACCTTGTAGCTAAAGTACGATACTTCTACGAAGGGATTTATGAGTCGCAGACACATCTCAGAAAAATAACCTGGTGGTAAGCTGTGTCCGGGAACATTTCGGTACCTACAAAAAAACCGGCAAATATGAATATTACGTTATTCGCCCAGTAGCCCATAGTTGCCCATAGTTCTAACGCCACTTCAGATGTCTCTGGTGCAATTGCTTCCCTGAAAAAATATTGCAGTTTCACCAATCAGATAAAGGTAATTCAGTATATGGTCGACAGTAAATAACGTCGTAGGGTTTTGTAAAAATCTAATCTGCCTCTTTCTTCTGCACTGCTACCGATCATTCACATAACTCGCGTTTGGAGCCTTCATGTTAGAAAGAAAATACTGGAATTCTTAGAAAATTTCTCATGCGTTTCACCCTCTACTGAAAAGATTTACGCTTACATTTTTTCGTTACACGGCTCCTGATTTAGCATCTGTCTGGGCATCATTGGTTTGAATTTTATAACTCGGATTAGAAAGGATTTTCAGGAATGGAAGAAAATGTCGGGGATTATACTGGAACAAACGAAGAAACGTCGCTTTCTAGTTCAGCAATCGCGAGGTTGTTATAGAGCATACATTTACTTCCATAAAAAACACAATATTATACGACAGTAGCTGACGTTTTGGCAATGTGGTGTTCTTTAGAACCTGGAAGGGTATACTGATATACAACTTACCAGGTCAAACGCTTCAATAGCACTTACAAAAAGACGAAAAACTCTATGGTAATTATATGATCAACAGCTTCTCGAAAAACTCACCGCTTTTTTACGTGACTTCCAATGGGGAAGATTAGAACAGCTGATTATAGTCGCATGTGGTTGACGACAGCACCATCCCACATCGAAAATCGATGCGAACATACGGGATCAAGTCGCGTATGACCTCCGGGCATTCATCCTTGCTATTCATTGTAGGGATTTTGGCATTTATCCAAAAAACCTCAAGAAGTTTTCGCGCTGGAGTTTTGGACTCCTGTGCAAGGATATTGACTTTTACTTCAAAATCGTCTCCGCAATGCTTTTGTATCCTAAGCGTGCCTACTAGGGCTGCTTCGTCTTAGTTTTCGCTTGCCATCTAGGTGTTCTTTTATACGGATACACAAAGGTCTGCCCGTTTCGTCAATATATTCATCTCCAAAATTATTACAAATGATCAGGTATATCGTACCTGAACTCATGCAATCACCGTCCCTGCCGTAAGGGCAAATTACGCAATTTGTTGTTTCACATAGGCGGTCATACAGGCGGTTACAAACTGAGCGACGACGTAGAGTAGTCGGTAGTATTTCAACTTTCGCTACCGATTCCTCTAGACCTGCCGTTCTTAAGCACCGTTTAATAGCTACGCTTACTTCATTGCTGATAAAAGGCAACGTAGACGGGACTTTCTTTTGGCCAAACGTTTCGCGTGGGCGCGTCGTTCTCCTTGTAAACTTATCTCGTGGGGTTACTATTTTGTAGCCATTGGAGATGGCTATTTGCGGGCCAAGTTGCGCGATTCTTCCTTTAGTTCCCTGGTTGTGCACACAGAGGTGGCTGTTCGAAACATGTTTCTCACAATCGCCCTCTTTGTGTGTGAAGGGTGGGAAGAAAGGAAATGAACGAGGATGTTTTTCTTATCTGGTTTTCGGTTCCATTTTGTCATGTAACCGCTACTCGATAGGTTCATTCCAACGTTTAAAAACGGAAGCCAATTTTTTCTCGGTTTCTCCCGGGTGAACTTAATGTACTCAAACTGTTCGTTCAATAATTAGAAGCATTTGTCCATCACTTCCTGCGTAGAGATGACAAAACAATAACCTATATATCTGCAGTAAAATAGCGGCCCGAGGTCGGTAACCGGAGCATCTATTTTAGACATGAACGCATTGGCGAGAGTTGGTACCAACTGCTGTTCCATTGCCAGCCCTCTAATTTGTGCGTAATAGTTCCCAGACCATCTGAAAATCGAGCAATTTAGGCACTCTTTTAGGAAACCCATAAGCTGCTGAAGAGACAAGCCATACATATGTATTCCTCCTTCATGTTCAACAAGAGGTTCGTGAATGGTTTGCAATGTGGAGTCATTTGATACGTTGGTGTAAAGCGCGTAAACGCCGAATGACTCCATCACGTATGCGTTGTTAGGAGACGCCTTACGTAGACGTTCTGGGAACATTTGGGTGTTCGTGAGGTGAGCTGTATGGTTATGCAGCTGGGTAAGTATTTGGCCTAGAAACCATGTTATTCTATCCGTTGGCCCGTCTGCACAGCTGATAATGGGACTAACCTTGTAGTAGAGTGGATTGGTAGACGCGTGCTCGTCAGCTGATACTAATTTATGTGTTTTAATAAGTACCCCCCCCCCCTTTATCTCTAAGTGATAGTCTAGTCTTTGAATTTATTAATTCTCTAATTTCCCGTGTACCACATTTTTGCGCATCTGTGAGGTTAGAGATATACTTTCTATCGTGATAGTGGACAAAGGTTTTGAGAACAGCGTCCGAAAACAAGCGAAACTTTGTACCAATTTCGACATTCGGGTCTTGCTGTTTGAAGAGCGCTCTTGGCAAAGGTGGAGGTGAAAATAGCGCCATTTCTTCATTTTCATTTCTATTCGATGTTTCTTTTTTAGCCTTACAGCGGTGTCAATCTTGAAGCTCCGAACTGCATGCGATCCTACGCACAGTTACTTTAAAAATGGGTTGTGATGGTGAAAAACTTGGACCCAATTCTACTAGTGAACTCCCGTTCTCTGGTAAGGTCATGCCTCCAAGTACTGTGGCCCTAGATGTTCTTGGTACATTATCAACCCTATTTTGACTATTATCAGAACAGTAAAGAATTTGTTTGCTGTTGTTTTTTGAAGCTGAGGTATGTGAATCACTTAAAAGAATCTTTTTCGCTATCAAAAGAAGAAGGTAGAAAAGTGATGAAGAGCAAGTGAGTCAGGAGTAGTGGTAGTGTGGTCTAACATGATACAGTCAAATAAATAGGAAAAAAGATAAGGTAGCAAGGATTGCAGACGAGAACATATCGGGAGTGAAGAAATAAAAATGACAGAAAAAAACAAGTTAGAAGTTAGCGACAAAAAGTGGAAAGATTAGAAATAACATTGATGGACAAATGAGGTTTGTAGAATGGATAAAACAGATAAAGAACAAAGTGTTCCGAGGACGATCATTTCCTGATGGGCGGGCGCACTATGCATTCGATTTCATCAAGAATCACAAAAGAAATTAGGATTGGATTGGCTGAGTACAGTATATAAGACGACTTACGGTGGCCTGCTGAGTTGTCACTGTTTCTCCCTACTCTGGTTATTATGGTAAGAATTTGCTGAATCAGGAAGGGATTTAAGGCTTTTTCAGACCGGTAGTGAGATCGAACCAGACATCAATCCACTCTATATTAGCGAGAACTTTTAACCATTGCGCTATAGACGCCACTGTCGTGAAGAAAAGAAAAACTAAGAGGAGGGAAGTGCACAAGATTTTCTTCAGAAGCCTAATTAAGGCGTCTACAATGAATTTTTTCACTCGAATTATCAGTAAGCGTCCACTGATCAAAGTGGAGATCAAATATGTAAACTCAGTTTCTCGTCACTTTTTTATTTACTGGCCAATCTTTTTTTTCAATAGCAGAGTATTGTGCAAAATATAACCATGATGATGTTGAGATATTTACAAAACTTCGGACCGCTGGTGTCACCGGTGGGAACCGAACACGCTACTACCCTTTCCGGGAGCCAAGGCATTCACCACCCCACCATGCGAGTCCTTCGTTCGCATTTCTCTCTCTTTCGTTTGAGAGAATATCGCTTTACTGTCCTATATATGTCATTAACTATGAAATAAATTACAATAAGAAACCTATGTGAACTCAGCATAATTCCGAATGTGCACAGGCCAAGGGCAGGTGAACAAGAGCACTTATCACATAGCATGAACACTCCGTACACCGACACCAAAATGAATGCCTGAAAATGTTGTCAACTAAGTGAACCACGGAAAAGACACAGCCAAAAGGATCTCAATCGGTGCTCTAGAATTGCAGCGTTTGGTAAAGAAATACGTGGAACACCTGTCGTTTCTTATTCTCCCGTAGTCTGCAGACGATCCACGAGACGGTTTTTGCAGCGATAATACCCATAACTGGAGAGATGACGACGTTCAAGAAGAGAACGAAGAGCTGCTCTGGTATGTTGATATGGTCAGAAATGCCCAATTCGAGCTTAAAAGAGGAACATTTAGGGAATGAAAGAGTATTAAAAAGGCGCCGCTTAAGCTAACAATCTACATGTATCCGGCTTTTTTTAGCGTAAGCCCTCCTAAAAATGAGTGCTTGTTCTATTCTCAATGTGCTGGTTTCGTTAATATTCTATTATCTCACCAGTTAGTAAACTAAGATTAGGCGAAGGAAAACTGTCAACATGCCTTGATTACACTGACAAGAGTGCTATATGTAGTCAAGGCAAGGCCGTCATTAAGAAGCGATTCGCCTTCAATCAGAATTTTCAAGCGATGAGGAGCACCATATTGTTCCAGGATTGCAACGACTGCCACTGGATCAGTGGCAACGATTATTGTGACGAAGATCAAGACCTAAAGATTAGAAGCTGTTAGAACAACAACAGCAGAAAAAAAAACATCACTGGAAAGGACAAAGGATAGTGGTCTCGACGTTGATCAATTCCTGATGCGCCATACATTCGACTTCATTAAGCATCATTCGGAGGTGATTGAATGCGTATCTGGTCTTTACAATCTGGCCACGCGGTGGCCTACTGATGTGCCGAGCCAGTGCTGCTATCCTCCCAGGCAAGTTTGGTACCAATTTACCGACCCTGGAGAGATGGAATGCTTGGTGGGCCATGGGCACAGAAATCGAGTCCACTTGCGTATTGCAGGGCGCCTCCGACCACTGCGCCACACGCGCCCATTCTTCTGCACTAAAATCGCGTAAATATTTTGATCATTATGTTTCTCAACAGAGCTTTCAAAAGCTCTTTGAATGTCGACAAAAAGAAAAGCTTCGAAAACTTTACCGCTGAAATTTTGAATTTTTGAGTCTGAACAAGCACTGGAAGCATAAATCCTGAAGCGATCAGCAATGTTTCAAAGTAGACGATGGTAGTTAATGAAACGATTAGGCGAAGTTTTGCAAAAAACATATGAGCATTGATTTTGAACGATGCCTCAAAAAGAAGCGGTGGGAGCATCACCTGAAGAGAAAAAGACAGGACATTGAAGTGGAAGCAATACAACAGTCACTATTCGTAGACGGTGAGAATGCTAACAATACGTTAACTTTTTTTATTTGCTGTCCATTACAATTTCTCATGGTCTGTATTATGTGAAATGCGTTCACAATGATGCTGAGATATTTGCAGAACTCTGGACCGCAGATCTCTAAGTTGGGGATCGAACCGGTTATTACCGTTTCCTGGCGTTAACGTATTGGCCACCACACCATGCACCATGCGGGCCTTTCGTTTCGTCTTTCTCTCAGCTAGTTTTTGTCTAACAGTGCCATCAGAAATCATCTGCCAACGGAATTGATCGAGAGAGAACAAATCGGCATTGAACCAAGTTAAGATGAGGCTATAGTCGGGATCACAATGCTAACTTTTTTTGTACTGCCTACTTTAATTTTTTACGGCAGAGCATTCTGTGAATTCCAATTACAATGGTTACTGTAGACTAGGTAGAAACCTGGCTTAGGTTACGATTTACCTTTAAGATCGTTTCCGGATCCATTGATGTCCATGAATATCTTTCTGTAAGGTCTATTGTTACACTAGCTGGAAGAAATTTTCGAATAGCGATGCTGAAATCGAATTTGGGAGAAAATTTATTCGGTGATCCGACGCGATTGGTTTACCGAGGAATTAGAAACTTAGGGAACTTCATTTCGATTCTTTTGATGTAAGGCAAATACTTAATATGCTATGATAATCCTACAACCGCACGGTAAAGCCGCCAGCAATCGTTCTGTATCAATGATGTGTACCGGCTCTGATTGTTTCACTGTCCTACTGGGCACCTGATTGTTTGCAGGGCTTTTTGTTTTGAAACCATTCGTAGTTCCTGACACTACTACTGATTTTGCATTTCTTCAGTATATCAACTAAACCACTGAACAGTTTGAAAAGTTGCAGTTTTGTCATTTTTTTAACTCAACTCTACCAAGCACCAAAACTTTTCGGATTAAGAATGCCATTTCACTGCGAGCTCTAGAGTCTCTTTTGTAGTGTTGAATAAGATTCTTATTACAATATCCCTGTACTGTGTTACAGTACACTAGTGTGGTGAGAAGACGTTTATTGTGAGAGAAACCGTTACATGTAGACAATGGTTCATTCCACAAGCACAGATACGAAGTATTAGAAAGGTGCTTAATAATGCTATTAAAAGGATGAAGGATAATGCTCTTGTTGGCTATCAATCCCTGAAAGATGAGCCACGCATTCGAGCTCATCAAACGCCGTTAAAGGTGACTACGTACATATCTGACCTCTACAATGTCTCGCCGTGATCTATGTCGAGTCAGCGAGGCCTTCCTCCTTTAAAAAATCAGCACCAATTTGCCAACCAAAGAGGAATGGAAAGCACGGTAAGGCTAGGCTCCGGAATCGAGCCCATGTGTATTGTAGGGCGCTTCCGACCATCGCGCTACACAAGCCCTTAATAGTGCTGCTACTTAAATACTTGGACGGTTCATCTTCTCGAGTTTTGCTGCCAACATGATGGCGCGTGCGGCTCTTGTACCGTAATCTGTAGAATAACTGCAGCTGCGAGTGCATCTGATAAACTTTGTTTACGAACACGTTCTGCCCAATGGTCCATGGGGACGCCTACGCTCTTGTGGCTACAGTTCCTTTCGCCCATCTGTCGTCTGTTCTTCTCAAGACGTCGATGGAAAAACTGTATTTTCGTACTGGTGTTCAGATAATGGCTCTACTCCTTGGCTGATGAACGCTCATAGGACTGTATTAGTTGCGACACTACCAAACGCTTTTTCATGGTAGACGAAAAGTAGGACTAGAAGCAGGTGGTATTCCCAACGAACTGTAATGACCCTGTACACAGTTTGGATGTGGTTCATGCAGCAAAATCCCCGTCGAAATTCTGCTTGCTCAACCCGTTGCTCCTCATCCAATGCCCTTGATATACGCGATTGTACAATCTTCATAAAGAGCTTGTACAGTACACTCAACAAGCACATCGGACGACAGTTACGAAGACCCCTTCTGTCACCTTTCTTAGGCAAGATGACTGAGCACTGCTCTAGGGTTTTTTCTTTTGAAGGTATGCTGTCATATGGTTTGAAGTACATGTAAATTGTGGATTCCAGTTTTAAGGATATCGGCTGTGACACCGTCCGGTGCTGGAGCTGTGCCTCTTTTCATACTTTCATCGCAACTGGAACCTCCGATAGAAGAATTCTAGGTGGTTTTTCTCCAGCAGGGTTTTAGTGCCTGGAACGCTCAATATGGAACTGAAGAGGTAGGTGTAGAACGTTTCCATTATCAATTCCATGTCATTTCGGGAAATTTTTGATGATCCTATCTTCGTTTATCAGCGCTGACAGCAAAACATTACAACCGCACAAGTCCCGCCAACATTTCCCAGATTGCTTCTTTTCTCTACCACCTCCAGATTCTTCTTTCTGTCACGATTTAGACCTTCCTGCAAAGCTCCTCTGCAGCTTACTTTTACTACCAGCTGTGTTAAACGTCATGCAGTCAGACCAAGGTTCGTTTCCTTCTTTTCTCAAGCAATTCCTTAGTGGTAATGGAGATTCAATTCGACCTTTTTGATTGAGGAACTGAAGCGAATTCACCGCAGATTTTTAGTTCTTCGATAGGAAGCTCGCAGTCTTCGATCGGGTACTCATTATTCTGCTAGTAACGTTTGGATAAGATTTCGTTCAGAATGTCTTGGTTATATACAGCCAAACTTTTCCCTCGTAGTCTATGACGTGAATCCATTACCAGCTTACCGTTGAATCGAATTTTCACGCGAAGAAGGTGGCGATCGGAACCATTACAGCATGATGGGAATACCGATGTGTCAACTAGACACCATTTCCTCTCTGTAAGAATATGCTCGATCTCCGCATAAGTCGTGCCGTTAGGAGACTTCCATATCCAGCAGCAGCTATTTTGCTCTTCTGGAAAAACGAGTTCCTTTGGAAGAAACGTGGTGCAGATAGAAGTTCTGCCAGACGATTTGCACTCTTATTTCTTCCTCGCGATTAAAAATTTCTGATACAGTATTCGCTCTCCTCTATTCAGGCGTTGAAGTCTCCGAAAACAAATTTTGTAACACACTGCGGATAAGTTCCTCCAAATAGCGTCTAGTTTGTGCTCGTCGGCTGCACCGGTTGGTGAATAGCAAATGATGATAGTGGTCTTCTAATTCTGGTTGGTTGAAGACGGAGGACGGCCATGCGATAGGAAAAAGTCTCCAACGAGTCGACGAAAAGGGCAATGGACAAGTATATGACAAAGCCTACACCGCAAATGTTTATTGGCGGGGTCTTTACTCTGCGGATGACAAGAGTCTCATTTTTTAGTTGGCGTATAACCGTCTTCCTGATTTTTTTTTCTTATACGGCGATCACAAGGAATACGATGCGATCTGTGGCTTCAAGATGGGGTAGAGATCGGCGTCTGAAGAAAGTGTGATGGCACTGTACACGCAGACTAAGAAGCAATCTCCATGGAGAGTGTCGTGCCTGTGTTCGTCAGATGTGGTTCCAGTGACTTTCTGTGTAACCCGAAATTTTGTCGCCTCTCACTCGTTGTCGTACTGCTTGACGTCATAGATGGGAGCATCCAGTGTGCAGAGTACTGAGGCAGGCCTATTGCTGGTTGAGCAGTTTGGTCTTTCTGAGAGTCCTGACATAACCTTGCAGGGGCGTATCCAGATCTTCACTACGATATTGATCCGAGGACTCTGCCTTCCCACTAGTTGATTCGGAGACCGTGTTAGGATTGAAATTAGAAACGAAAGTTGGAATAAAAAATGACCGACCACCCAAAGGATATGTAGAAACGAAAATCTAACAGCGCTATTAGATAGCAAGTGTGAAAAGCTATCCGTATCATATCTGCAAATAAACTTTGCAGACTTAGAGAGGCAGACAAACTCCTTACAGCAGCCTAGTGGAGAGATGATAATTCACTCTTTCACCTAACAGCTCAATACTACAGTAAGTGAGCCCGACACTATTTCAACTTTCGTGTAGATCTTCAATCAAGAATCCCTTAATTCTTTATCGATGCTCTGTTCCATGCGCTATTTATCAGCATTTGATAGAACCGATTCTCTTCCAATCTGCTAAGATAAGGCCAACAATTACTATTCTAGGAAGTATGACCTGGTTAGTACTTCACTTATCCAAGGAACGTTTGATAGTTCTTAAAGAATTGCTCATTGCTGATTTATAATCACTCCCACCTTCCGCACATAGCTATAAGAAATTGCAGTACACTGTCAGGTATGCCGAGAAAGCTTATAAGCTTGTTTGCTTCGTCAAGAATCAATCCGATTATCAACGCCAGAACGGGAAAAACAAACGCATCAAATTCCTTCGGCATCTGAAAAGCAAGGGAAGATTTATTCAATCTTTAAACATTCAACTATACGTTGCATTTCGTTCTTATAAAAAGACTAGAGACAAAATGCTGCTATTTAGCTTATGTTACAATTCATAACTCTTCAGACTCCTTCCTAGGCTACATCCTCATTGGCGCGGCCGTGCGAAATAGTTCCAGAAAAAGCAAAGCGGAGGATCAGCGAATTTGAATTGTCACGTAGTACGTGCATCTCTACTGAGCAACAGTATGCGTGTCTATGACATCTGCTACCGTGCATGACTCCTATGTTTCTCCTCATTTACAATTTTGACATTACAGCTGACACAAACATGGAATATCATAGAGGTGAAATCCGGTACTCCTTTGTTGACTTCAGTAACTTCAGTAGGTTCGATGCAAGCTAGATTAGCATTCGAGAGCGTGCACGAGAGAACCGACAAAGGAACTCGAATTATCACAATTGAAGAGCGGCGCCGCTCATAATAATGACTGAGTTGACTCCAGTCTAGCCAACACAAGCATAAAACACGTGTATCCTTGATCTAGCAGTACGAACTTGCTTGTAAGCTCTAGGACGGTTTCATAACTGAAAACGAAGACTGTATGATGTGTCA